TACGTCTGCATGATGAAGATGTTATGCTGTGTTGACCCTGGAGCTCTTATCTACAGTATCAACAGGGTTGGGTTAAATGCATGCATCCATCCATCCATCCATCCATCCACCCATCCATCCATCCAGTTCTTCAGCTAATGTAATACTGGTTGTCATTTTTCTTGTGGATATGTGTGTTCCTGGTGTAGCAGCCTTTGCTATTTTATAGGTGATATATACTGCAGTTGTTGTGGGGACATTCAGCATGAGCGCTTTTAACTGGTCAGGGTTTAGTTCTAGTCAGTCTACAATAAGGGACAGGTTAGACTTAAGATACGGATTAAGGTTAAACATACTTGAATTAGTTGCGGTGAGGGAGAGGGAGTGTAAATAGATGTTGTAATAAATGTTTGGACATATTTTCACAACTTTGATGCATCATATTCATGTGACGTGTGTCCTTGCATTATTAATATTACAGCGCCTCACCCCCTGTCAGTGGGTTGTATGGGACTGAGCGTCTGTTTAATTGCTGTGTCTAAAAGTGATGACAGCTTTATTGATGAGGCAACTTAATTCCCACAGCTGATAAGGTTGGATCAATGGGTGGGACTGAATTCTAATGCGTACTCCATCGCTCCTTCCATTTCTTCATCCTCTGAGCACAAAAAAAATAAATAAATAAATAAAAATTCAGCTGCTTTGCTTTGTTCATACCTCCATACCAGACTATTTCCCCCTTGGTCATACACCAGTAATCTCCTCACTTTAATCCCTGTAAGTCACCATTAAGCCCGTGCTTATTCCCAGATAATGATAAAACTCACGCTAGTCCATTTATCTCCAAGGTTTAAGGTTTACAAAGGATTACGGATGGTAAAATCAATTTGCTTTTCTTTTGAATGTGTTGTTATCCAGTTTGTTGCTACCTTGGTGCCGCTGCAGTCTAATGGACCGAGCGCCGAATGGTGGCTATCATCAAATATTGGACCTTTTTTTGGGGGATTCAAGGGGGGAAAAAAAATCTGCATAATCTCATAGAACTATAGTTGAGGTTTTGCCAACATCTGGGGCACGGCTCAGAGGTGGTTCTTTATCAAGTGATTTTAAATGGCACTTTAATGGCCATTGTAGGAATTCACACACCTGCTTCACACAGTGAATATCCTCACAGTGAATAATGTATTGGTGTATCGATGCGCTAACAGCAGCCGCGGAGGTTCGCTTTCACGTCCAATGTCCCTGAGAACACAGACACCACTCCAGCTGGCATTAAGGCGGATGCATATTACATCGGACTCGTATCCTGGACCATTCCCAAGTAAATGCATAAAGATAATTGCCATACAGAAGGGTGGATATAATTCGTCCTAATTTTCCGACTGCTGCGGGCTGTTTTATTGTGTATGACAGTGACCACGAGGGTACGGTTGTTGGAAGCTGTGAAAGTTATTTTATTGGAAGACCATAAATCTCTGGGATCCAGTCTGGACAGTTGGTGCCGTAGTTATAACAAGCTCTGTGGACTATTTCGGAACCAGCGTTCATATTGGAGGGCTTTCTCAAACTTAGCACAAAGAGCACAGTCAGAGGTTCCTCTGTTGAAATATAAGTGGAAATATAATTAGAAAGTCAATTCAAAATCTGTGAAGTTTAGAGTCGGTACACACAGGGAGGAAGTGGTGTTCCACAAATATGATCAGCTCGTAGCATGATACAATGTATAAATCATACAGGTAAAATTTGAGTTTTTTTTTTAAACAAACAACCATTTAAATTTATTTAAATGGGGTGAAAAAAGTAAAGAAATGTAAAACAAGCTGCGAGTGGATCTCATTAATTCAGATTTGTTGTGTTATACCAGACTAACTCATGATTCAAAGACAACTGTACGACCATTTGTTTTCTTAGATGATAAAAATGATTAGTTTACTTGTTCTTAGTTTTGATGAATATTATTAGCCCTAAGAGAGCGAGATTTTTAATGACCATCATGGCTGTTGGACTGTAGGGTCGGGTGTAGGGGAGGGGTGGTGGTTCTGTTTACCCATAGTGCACTCAAAAAGCCAACAAAAGCCAATAAAAATAAAACCGAGTGCAGACTCGCTCTTTGACTTTTATTATGCTGGCAATTGGGCATTTTCTCAATAAAGAGATTAAACTAATGTCATTTTTATGACATTAGTTCTTTATGACATTTTTATGTCTTAGGCCGTGGGAGGACTACAGTAGGATATTGATGACATAAAAAATTTTTTTTTAGGGAAGTCCGATATTAACTTCTTTGCCGATATGCTGATATTGTCAAAACACTTAATTTCCGATTCTGATATCAATCGATACCGATATAGGCCTGCTAATATTTATTTATTTATCTGTACAAACTACTGTATGAATATGAAATTAATTAAATGAGCTGCAATGCTGCCATCTAGTGACCTTTGCTTTGATATACAGCCGTTTATCCCCAAAACCATTTTTAGCACTCACATCATTTGGCATTGCATTGTCGGGTTTTCATTGCCAGAGGAAAAACCAATAACGATTCTAACAGATATTACATAATATGTTAATATCGGGCAGGAAAAAAAATATGCGATATTATCGGACATCCCTATTTTTTTCCTTTTTTTTACATAAGGTTTTTCAAAAAATGTGCCTTTCTAGTGATATTCCTATTCCATTTAGAGAAATGCACGATTTTTTATTTATTTATTAGGTTCAGAATTATAACTGTTACTGCCTGTAGTCAAGACCTTGGTAGTTAGGGTGAAAGATGGATGACACAGGGCCGAGAAGATGAGCTGAGTAAAACAAGTGCACCGGCTAGAAAGGGACAGCATACTGGAAGAAATGATGGAACAATGATTGGCCGATGAGACGACGGTACGATGCAACACTTTTGAAATATGAAGTGAGTGACAGCCAGGAATTATGGGTGTGTAAGTTCAAGAACGCATGAAAACAAAATGTGTGACACTTAATTAATGTTCAAAGTAGTCAGTCGGGGGAGTCTTCCTGAGGAAGAGCTTCCAAATGAAAACGGTTTATCAACATGCAGTCGGGCCTCTGTTAGTCTGAATGAATAATTGTAAATATCAGAGCTTTAATGATGAGCTGATGAGTAGAGCGGCAAATCCCCCAGGGTACTTCAGATAATAACTTAATCCTTTTTTTTATTACAAACGGCTTTCCAAAAAAGTTGGTACGCGCATAAATTAATACTACATCAATAATGAAAAACTTAGATATATATATTTATATATATATTACTTTGAATATCAATATATACTTATGTAATATAATATATAATTTCACCTTTCTTATTTTTCTCACTGACAGCCGCTAGAGGGCACTGACTTATACTTATCGCGACTTATGTTTATATATGTTTTGAAATGATTATTATGTATGCATTTTGGTTGTGGAATAGTTTATGTTAGGCAACCAAACAAGACAAGCAGCCAACAGGATGCTCACAGTCTGGACTTAATAGAAGTTAAGGATGTACAGGTTTTCATCTGCAACAACTTTAATGATTAATAAATATAAAGTCTTGGGTAATTTTGAGCTCAACTGGCTCTGTTCTTGCTCCCAGCCCTTAAAATAGGAAGCGTTGCGTCAGGAAGGCAATGCAGCATAAAAGCAGTGCCAAATCACGATGTGAATTTAATGGTCCTCGGTGACTGTGTTCATAAATTGGCCAGACAAGAGCCTCAGATCATGAGATGGTGGACTTTCAGAAAGTCCACTTTGCATTGACGAGCTAAAATATGAATATGTTGTGACATAAACTCCACCAAGTTTATCAATGTCAAGGCAACAGAATTTAGCTTCAGACAAAATTCTGACTTAAATCACGTTCCCTTTACAGCTTTAATAGCCCGGGTGTGCACCGGGTTCACACACAGCAGGCATATTCATTACAGTTTACTGTCACTTGGCAATTTAATTATAAGAATAAACACGATTACGGATATGAACAAAAGCCAAGAAAACAATCTCTGTTTCTATTTCTACAAACTGTGCAAAGTAGAAATCTGCTTTTTGCAAGATGGAGTTTCTTACTTTTATGGCGAATGTTACCCAGAACACCCATAACACTTGATAATTAGAAGGTATCTAGGAAAGCTGAACAAGAGCCCTGGAGACGTTTCCCAGGGGGGTGATATGATCTGCAGGTTTTATGGCTGCAGTGCAGGCGGGACATTTCTCCTTTCTGTGCAGCAGGTGAAGGGTACGGGGTGAACGACCATTTTTCTGCAACAATTCCAAAAATTTATGTAGCAACATAAGTATGTGTGAAAATGATTTTTTGTTTGTTTTGTTTTGTTTTGTTTTGAGAGGCAATAAGAAGTGTGTTATTATCTCTCAGAGGAAATAGGATATACATGGAAACAAAGGCTCGGATTTAGATTTTGGTGTTTTGAGAGTTTCTCTTCAAAAACAAACAGGACCAAAAAACAAACAAAAAAAACAAATGACCAGTGTGAGACATTCATTAGTTTCAGCAGTTATTTATAGCGCTTCCATAACTCTTCATGTATATGAAGTAAAAGCCAGTGTACTGTAAACTACGCGAGACTGTGACACTTTTTACAACCCTTTTTCAAAGGAGGTGTGGATGATATTTATGAGCGCTGTATTTCTGTTGTGGGCTTTATTTATAGTTTGGACTGCTTTATTTATTTACTCACAGCTCACCAGTGGTCAGTGTTGATGGTGAATAAAATCTATAACATTACTTGTACATGCTCTCAACTTCTACAAGTCACGTTACTGCAATAATCAGGCCTTCGCTTTATAAAATAAGCTGGAGTGACTCCTTTATTTTTTTACTTTCATTTTATATTTTATTTCTATGCATATAATGTATGTCCATATATATGCACAAACATGTATATTTGTGTATGTGTATATATATTTATATATATGTAAATATGTGTGAAACTATATTTATTATCATTTATTTCTACCCTGTTCTAATCCTGTGTTTTCATGTGTCTGATGTGTTTTTTTAGGTGATCCTCATGCTGACAAAATACTACGACTTCAACAGCGGAAGAGTAACAGAGAGTTCTTTGTGGAGGTGAGATCCCCCGTCTGTTATTAGTGAAATTAATTTCCCTTTCACCAATCACAGTGTTTTATAGTGGAGCTCACTGACCTCTGGACCCCAGTCAGTTCCTGGGCTCTGGATCATTTGGTATTGTTCGCAGCAAAAAAAAAAAAAAATCATATTAATTGCCTTTTATTGATTCTGTAATTGAGGGTGAATTTTCATATAAAGACCTGATTATCTCCCAGCCACCAAGCCTCTTGACACAAGCGAATAGGTCCTTTTTGCAGAGAAAAAGACCGAGCAGAAGAAATAAAAGACAGGCCTTCACCTTTAAAAACCAAAAGAGAGTTGCATTTACAGCCCTGTATAAACTACCGGTTTATAGAGAAAGGTGATGCTCAGGTGCTAAACCTTCTCTGCATAATACACATGGCATTCGGCGTCATTATAAATTTTACATTTTTTTAACACTTTATATGTGTTTTATTGGTCGTATTATTTTACCTGTTATGTATTTTCGCTGCGCCTCCACAAACGGTCTGTGACAGTATTCTCTTAAAGTTGAAACCGGTCACAAAAAAATAAAAAAAAGTTGGGAACCTGTGTAGTGTTATACAGGTTCAGAGTCTGGAGCTGGACCAACAACGTGGTACTTTAGAGAGTACTGCTGTACCTACTAATCCACAACTGAGTTTAGGGTGTAATTAAAAAGTACAGGATTCTGCCAACAAACTTCTCCTCTTAGCTGCGTCTGTCGTTATCTTTGAGATAGGCAGCGGGAAACAGTCAGGGAAAGATGCGTCGTCATTGGACGGACTGATGAGAATAGTCTCGTCCTGTTATTTAGTCTATTAATTAGTACTATTTTTTCGGCGTTACTTCTGCCATTATTGAAAGCTTTTACTACTACTACTATTAAGGCTACTACTCAAAATAACAACAATGCGATATTTAATAATGGTGCAACTCCAGGTATTCCTGTTTATGTTACTAATTGAAAAAACCAACCATCTAGCAAATGACTTCTGCTTTTGCAATTTTCTGCTTGCGTGACATGCCTAATGATGCCACCAGCTCCATCAAGTAGGTGTCGCTTCATTCATCCTCCCAGTCTCCCACACAACCTATTAACTTCATCCTTTAATTGAATTTTAGGTCAACTGATTATGGAACCACCTATGAGAAACTTAATGAGAAAGTCGGCACCAAGACCATCCTGAGCTACTTGTACGTGAGTCCCAACAACAAGAGGAAGGTGGGTGTCTGCACTGCGCACTTCCCCAACGTCCCGTTTGTTCCGAATAAACCTGTCACTCGTCATCGCCGCGTTGCAGAGAGACGTTGTTGGTGCAGCGCCGCCCTGCAGGAATGCGCACCATGTGTCTCTTGCAAAAACACCGCATTGCATAAGCGTACATGCAAGCCCCCTCCGGGACAGGAGGCTGTCAAGGTGGTCCGATGATTCCACTGTCTCCTTTCTTGTCTCATCTTAGATCATGTTACTGACCGACCCGGAGGTGGAGAGCAGCCTGCTCATTAGCCTCGACGAGGGGGCGTCCTATCAGAAACACAGCCTGGGCTTTGATATCCTCAGCCTCCTGTTCCACCCCGAGCAGGAGGACTGGATTTTGGCGTACAGCCACGACCAAAAGGTAGCTGTGGTTAGCACAAAATAGCTTGAAAACAGAAAAACAAAACAAAACTCAAGAGTTTGAAGTGACGAAAAAACAAAAACAAACAATCATTGGCTTACTATCAAGGTTGTTGTGCATGGTTTACTTCCCTCTTGTCATTCTGTTGTCACGCTGCAGTGATTGCTCAATGAAATTGATGTTGTGTCATATCATGTTGTCCAATCCTGATGGGTCACATCAACAATAATACTGCTGTAAAGTGATACAAAGCAGCAGTTTTAGCCACTGACAAAAGCAATATATATATGTATATATATATATTTTCTTTCAGAGCAGGGTCAAAGAGGTTTAGGGTCTTTATGACGCTGGACAACTATACTGTAGCGCACATGTGTCAAACTTAGGCTCGGGGCCCGAATCTGGCCCGCAGTGAAATTATATTTGGCCCGCCTTCAAATGTGTACTAGTTGGCCTGCCAGTATATAACCCCTATATACTGGCAAGATTTGTAGTATTAGTGGTGTATGCATTATGTTATAGCACTTTTTTTTTTGTTGGCCTGTGAAAAAAAGATTTACAATAAAAAAGCAATCGAAAGGCTACAGATAATAAGAAACGATTAGCACTGAATCAACATTACATATGTATCTGGAGAGAAGGGAAAACATTTCACAATTGCCGTCAATTATTCAAGTTCGGCCCGCGACATTGTCCCAGTTTTTAATTTTGTCCCACTGTGAATTTGAGTTTGACAGCCCTGCTGTAGCGGCTAAAGTAACAGCTGATCAGCTATTTGACGGGACCCTAAATGTCACCCAAACGGCATGCGTCTGCTGATGGAAGTGTGAGAAACTCACAGCTGCCTTCATTCCACCTCAGAAATATTAAGTTTTTTTTTGTATTTTGCGGACTTCATTCTCAGAGAACGAGCAGCAGTCAGGGTCATAGCATTGAAATAATCAGTGAAAGCTTTCATTGAGAGTTGAACAGTCAAGCTGGAACACAGATGTTTTCTATTTGCTTGACTTTGTAAGGCTGAAATACCTGACAATCTTTCCTTTCATCAACACCAAAAAAGAACAAGGGACCCAAGCTTGGTTTTGTATTATATTATATTTATTAATCATAATGTTGTTAAACATTATTTCTTTTACAAAAGAATGTTTTTTTTTGTAATTTATTTTTTAAGTGTACTTTTCTTTTTAATGGAATTTCTAAAGCAGCCTGGTTTGAGGGAGTCGGATTTTTGATCGGCATATTTACGGTTCCGCTCGCTCAAAGTTGCTACAGTGAAAAGAACATCTACACCAACACCACCCAACCTTGACAGTCTCTGATGAGTGTGATACATATAAACAACGTAGAGACAATCCCAACTCGACTGGTATGTTTTTTATAAAGAACACATTTGTTGAATATGAAAAGAACATCTACACCAACACCACCCTTCACCCTTCACCTTTCTTCTCATTTGCAGCTTTACGTCTCGGTTGAGTTTGGAAAGAAGTGGCAGCTCGTGCACGACAGCGTGGTGCCCAACAGATTCTACTGGTGAGATCAGTCTTGGAAGTTTTGTTTTATGAAAATATATTTAAAAAAAATGAATCTGGCTTGATGCGAAAGATGAGACAGTGATCAAATCCTGAGACCGTACTGCAAAAATAATTTCTCTTAATTTTCATTGATTTTAAGTTCATCATCATTTGGCATGTACTGTAGCTATAAATGATTTTACGCCATTACTTTATTATAAGAAAACTCTATCTCCCAACATAATAATTTTCTACTTACAAGAGTAAAAAAAATGATAAAATTTGACTCTCTTTCTGTTAAGCTTGAGGTTGGGCTTCTTTGATTTAGGTGATGTTTACATGGCAACAATATTAATGTTCAACCAAGTCAGCCCCACAGCGTGTAGTATCTTAGTCACCCCTGCTCAACACCACACAACAACAACAATGGTGGATGCCAGGCTACTAGCTACTACCGTGCTAGAGAGGCTAATTAGGCTACTTGGTGTGTTACAGCTAATTATTTCATTTTGGCAGCTCTATCTTGAGCAGCAAAGGTTTATGCGGAATTTTAGAGATGTGGGTGACACAGTGTCACATACAGGAAATGTTGAATTTTCTTGTGCCAGTTCTGTGTGAAAATTTCGCATCCGGTATCGTATAGCGGCCGTGTAAACATGACCTTCAGAAAGTCCATGTTGACTCATTTGCATGTATGAAACTTTATATCTCAAAACTAGCCTCCTCATCCCCACAGCCAACACACGCACACACACACAGTCACAGGCCAGGGTTATAATCTGATACACCCCCACCACTGTTCCCAGTGGATGACGAAATCTGTCACTACAAATGACACCGTGACTGGAGAAATCAGCCTGATGAAAGTGTTTATCTGCATGTCATCACAGTGTATGGCATGATCATTTATGTGGTTTAGTGGTTTAAAATTGTTTTTCCTCATGTCAGTGATTATGTGGTAGAAATTTTGAACAGAAGTATTAGGAACAAAATGCTGTTATTGTTATTTTTATTGTATTTTCCAAGTGTTTTAAAACAGAACATTTTCATTTTCTCATAACTGTCTGGGAAGCTATAATAATTTGGGCTGTTTTGCTTCAAATGGGACTTATTTATTGGAGCGCAGCGCAACTCAGAGATGTTCATTTAGATAGTGATATTGACAAGTCTTTAATATAAATCTAAACTGTGGCGTAAGATATACAGAAGATATGAGAATATTTCTTAGAATCTGAGCTGTCACTTTTACAATCATGGGGAAACGGCTTAAATATGGATGGCAGATTCTTACCAAGCAGAAGAAGAAGATATCAGGTTATTAACATGTTGTCAAGATATGGAGTGACAAGTGTACTCCTGAAGTCTACAGATCTTAGAGGAGTATATTATCAAGCCAGCTGAGGCAGAAATGTCTGGATGAAAAGCAGTGAGAAATGTGTCAAAAGAGACGATCACAACAAGGTATCAACTGTCAGAATGAAGCGGAAGAAGTTTCACACCTGCTAAAATAAACAACAAAACAAAAACCTGACCTAAATGATACTTGCAAAGCTAGCGAAGCTGAGCTAACCTCCGTTGTATCCTCCATTACGGTCCAAAAAATCTTTCTTCTTTAATATCAATATGGAAAAAGATATAAGGTTATTAACATGCTGTCAGAATATATAGAGAGACAAGTATAAGTCTGAAGTCTAAAGGTGTTAGAGAGGTCAATTATCTAGTGAGCCGAGGTAGAAATATAGAGAGTTAAGTGTCTAAAGACTTGTGGATAACTGCCAGTGTTGAACCTATTTAGTCAGGATTTGAAGTGTCAAAAGAGACAATCACTACAACTCTCTAAAAGACTGCAGAAAATAAAAGTTTTACTTCAAAAAAAGAAAAAGAAAAAAGTTTTTAGGAAAGGCTAAGGAAAATGTGAAAACAGGACTTGGCGCATGCTTTAAATCTCAGTGAAGCTACCAAAGCTAAGGTAAGCTAGCTTTACAACAATGCTGTTTTAAAATGGCTGGGTTGGCGAGAACATGGGGTATACTGTTAAAATTACAGCCGTCTTTGCATATATAGACAGATAAAGAGTTAGGCTGCGGCAGGTTCCTGTGTTTTTATGACATGTACACTTCCTCCGCTCCTTCTTTTTTAGCCTTCACACATCAATTAGTGTATTTCACGCTAGCAGTTGTGATGATGTAGCAGAGATGTAGCCTCTGGATGTCTCTGAGCGTTTTAGCATGATTAGTAATCAGGTGGTGGCTCAGGGATTATGGCGGTGGATATATTCTGAATTTATAAAGGTTTTATAGTCGCTGGCCAGAAACTACTTTTACACTTTTAATGCATAGAGTTAAAAAAAAAGGACAAATCCACGGGTTATTCAAGGAGGTTAGAGTGGAAGCATATAGTGAGTATAAACCTGTTGGTTTTTGTTTTTGCATTTTTAAAAGTAAATATGTGGCAATGTCAGAACAATAAAAAGAACAGGAAAAAGAATATTACTGTAATAAAATTGTCAGTGTTAACTAAAAAGAATATTACTGTAATAAAATTGTTAACCATAGGTGTTTTAAACTGAGAACTGTGGGGCATCTTGTGAATCATCACCGTAAGCACCATTTAAAAGATAAACGTTGTCTGCTACAAAGAGCAAAGCACATGTCCTCCCTCTCAGATTTTAAAATAGTATCATTATATCATTTTACTTGATTCTCATTATCTCACCATTTAATTATACATGAAAAGTGTTTTCCTCCAACATGGGACTTTTAATTAACCTATAATCATAGCATCATTTGTATAATTTTACTGCTTTGTTCTCTGATTCTTACCGATGTATTTTAGTCATTTTCAGTTTAATTTTCCCTCCATGTGCCTGTTTTATTGTACCATACACCAGCAATTAGTAGTTAAAAAAAGAAAGATGAAAATGAAAGAAGTAAAGTAATTTTCTTTTTAATGAAGCATTAATCCGAGGCTAGTCTTAGTTAAGGTTAATGGTCTAATTGTGAATACATGTTTTAAAGCTTTTAGCACGTTTTTACAGTTCATAAGTAGGTATGTTGTGAATACATGTTTTAAAGCTTTTAGCACATTTTTACAGTTCATAAGTAGGATATGTTGGATTTTTGCCAATATTGTCCAGACACTTAATATCCGATTCCGATATCAACCGATACGGAAATAGGCCTGGTGATATTTATTTATTCATCTGTACAAACCACTGTATGAGTATGAGATTAATTAAATGAGCTGCAATGTTGCCATCTAGTGGCTTTCACTTTAATACACAGCCGTTTATCTCCAAAACTATTTTTAGGGCACACATCATTTGGGGACACCTGGCTATTGCGTTATCGGTTTTCATTACTGCAGGAAAAAACAATAACGATTACATTACATAATATGCTAATATCTGGCCGATAAATATCGGGGGCCACTTAGGTACGCTAAGGAAGCTAAGAACAATTAATTTAAGTTTACTTTGACTTTTAAATTGTTTTTGTTAGTTTTTTAAGAATTTAAAAAACACAGTATTTATATTAAATACTAAATACTATAAAAATTTCAAATTTTTCTCTTTGTATTCCGTTGAAAATGGAACACAGATATGGCCCTCCAATGAAATGACGGCGTCAGCAGTGGCCCTCAGCTCATTTGATTTTGAGTCTAATCCTGTATGTGATTGGACTGTAAAAAATAAACCCTGAGTACCCAGAAAACACACACACACAAAATAACAGAAACAGAAACAAAACACACAGAAAATATAAATTCTATACAGATGTAACCAACTGGGGCTTGAACTGCAATCTTGTTGCTGCAGGGCAGAACTCCTCAAATAGTGGGGCGGGCCCCCCAGGGGGGCGCAGTGAGGTGCCAGAGGGGTCGTGAGGGGCTTCCAATGAAACATGATGCTTGAATTAAAACAAGCCTCTTGTCACTAGGGGGCAGCAACTCATCCAGTAGTTTGTACAGATAAAAATAAGCATGTGATCAGGTTCTCAATAGTGTTTAAATTTGCCTGGGTTGGATGAAAACATTTCTGTCCACAAGGGGAACATGACAGAAATTAAATTAAGAAACACTGTTGTAAGGGCACAGCAATTATGATGTAAACAATATTCAATACTAATACACAGTATCATGGCATGATGTGTATAACGTGACAGTACATTCAGTCGACCTCCACTAAGTACACTCCTCACATGATCAGACACTTCCAGGTGTGAGGTAAATTATACTTCCTGCTCTGACAGTACGTTAACTGACACCATCTCCACAGCCAGACTGTGGTGTGGGTGAGGTTTGGGGTGGGTGGGGGCAGTTGCAACACTGCAGGGGTTTATTTAAGAGCAGGAGCTGCTGCTCACTGGTAGAATTGGATGAAGTGTTTGACAGAAAGTCCATTAAAAAAGATGGAGCTTTGAGGCAATTACAGAGTGCTGAGGGAGGCAGGACGGCCCGTTTTCAGGCTATACTTTGGACGTGGTACGGAAGATGAGGAGAAACCCATCTCGTGTCACAACAGCTGCTGTTTAATATAACAAGTGGTCACTCTGGATACTCTGCACTCAGGATATATCATGAGGACTCTCTATTGAGAATGGATAAAAAGGCACTTGCTGTAAAGCAGTGCAGATCAGATGTCTGTATGTACAGTGTTTCCAGGAAGGGTTGCTGTTGTTATTGCTGCTGCTGCTGCTGTTTTACATATTCCATAATGAAACCCATCAAGGCTGTGGTTCTCAGACTTTTTTTGGTCACTCCCCACATATGGGGGATTTTCAAGTCCCACCTGCCCCCGTCACCCCAACACAAATTTTGACAAATCACATTTCAGATTTATTGAACTAACACCAAGTACCTTTGTGTGTTCTATAATGAATCTAAATCAAATTAATGCATTTAACTTGTGCTAAATGCACAGCTGCAGACCTATTAAGTGGCATGTTGTCAGAGAATGCTGTTAGCCAAACACACTCCATAAATGATGAGAAATCTGTTTATTTGTATCCTTCCCTGAATGAAGAGGATGGATGCTTTTACTATATGCAGTTCAGGGTTTCATCTCTTTAAAACTACCTTGAATCTGATTTATACTGTTGTTAAATGTCGCTCAGGCTTTAAAATGATGTAAGTTACTGAAATAAATAGAAAAAAAAAAAACATTTGCTTTTTCATATGCACGTAGAATTTTCAAACGTTTTGGACTCTCACATTGTGTCACCCAGTATGATATGATGGTGACAGTAATAAAATGATCCATATGGCCTCTCAGTTCACATCAGTTCAAGTCATGTTCACATCTGCTACACATCCATCGTTAAGATGAGAGGAAACAACTAAAACATTTTGTCGGGGCATGAATTTAAACAACGCCTAATGGTTCATTAAGTAATTAATACAAGAAAATATAGCAGAGATCTGGAAGATTACAAGACAATTGTAATTAAAAGTCTATATATTTATATATATATATTTTTACTGTTGTTACATTAGCTTCTTTCTGATATACTTACTAACATATTTGGATGTACCATAACTATACAGTGTATAGTTATTATGCTACATGAAATACATAACCACTTTTTGGGAATCCGTGTTGTAGACTGTGGTCAGAGAGTGAATAAAAACATAAAGATGTTAGATCTGATGTTTTTCTCAGACCAATATAGATTTCTCTATGTGAGCTTTGCTTATCTGGATTTAAAAAAACAGACTTATGTTCAAAGTCTAGCCTTTTTATTCTTATGTTCCTTAAGCTAAGAGTGGAACAGTTTTTACATCAGGTTTTCTTTTTATTGACATCGACTAGCATCGATACCCTGGTTTAAAGTTGATTCTACATTTTTACAAAGTTGGAAAAAATAATAAAAGTGTTATGGCTTCAACAGAAAAAGTCCAACTAATTTGAAAAACAACACTGTCTAGATGTTTTCTTTCAAATCCACAGGGGAATTAAACCCAAACATATTTCAAAATAATTTGACACTTTTGTAAAATATTGAGTTTTTTCATTTATATAATGATAAAATAAAACACTCCCGTACTCCGGTGTCAGACAAAAAGTTTATTTTTCCACATTTGTATTCTTTTACAGGACTCCTTCATCAAGTCAATTATTGTCACTTAGTTCCTGCTCTTGTTTATGTTCATTGTGGTGTAAATATTTCACCACAATTTCCAAGCCTTGCATGAGGTGATGTAACCGTATCAACCTGAGGTGAAAAGGTTCTCAGAGATTCAAAGCAAAATAAAACTCTACAAAGTATTTCATATTGAAATAAGAAAGCAGACTGGAAAAAATATATCACAGAAGAAGCCAAGTGGGTGTTTGGCTGGAAAAGTCACAGTCGACCGCATGTTCCACTGTACAGCTGTGATGAGAGGGAGAAATTAAAGGGGGTTGGATTTTTATGGTTCCAAAGGCAACGAGCCAGACGTTGGCCGAAATTCATATACAGGACGTTGTTAATATTTTACATGATGACAAAATACAATAAAGATGTTTTATTATGTTACAGGTCCAGGCTGGGTTTAGATAAAGAGCAAGGGATGATTCATCTGGAGATAAGTGTCTCTGATGGACGTAAGTGACTTGATAATGAAGCAGTGTAACTGATTTTGCTGGAGTGCATTATATATATATATATATACTCTATGTATGTATATATATATATACTGTATGTATGTATATATATATGTATATATATGTGGATGTATATCTAGACATATATGTATATATATGTATATATTTATATACATACATGAATACATGTAACTCAATTACTTCTTACAGTATATGGTCTCTACTGCACACTATATAATCACATGTATATTTTTATTTATAGATCGCAATCTACTTCTTGGCCACCGCTGATCTAAATGATCTGTACTAAATCTCTGATGACGTGCTATCATTTTTAGGACCCAATTTTATCTCTGCTCTTCCATAACCACAACAACGGTTCTCAGTTTATTAGTTGTTTCTTAAAGCAGGGCTCTCCAATCATCATGGATCGGTCAGTGGGTCATTTGGTACCGGCCACAGTAGGCTGTAGTGAAATAATGAATAATTTAACTAATTTAAAACAAATCCAGTCAATTCACATTTGTGTTTCTTGTGTTTGAATTTGATATGAATAATTTAACTAATTTAAAACAAATTTCTTGTGTTTGAATTTGATCATCTGGATTATTCCGAATAATTCATCTTCCTGACTTTGAAACTAACGGAATAAAGTTTTAAAGAGATTTTCTTTTGAAAATGTACCAATTCGTCATCAGACACGGGCAAACTACGGCCCATTGGCCAGATACGGCCCACTGAGCTCTGTTATCCTGCCTGCCACACACTGTTAGAAGGCGTAGTAAAGCCAGATGTCAGAGCTTCTGTTTCACACGTTACAATTTCAGTGTCTGCCACTAGATGGCAGTAGATATCAAATGTGCCAAATTTTCTTTGAAAGTTTAGGTTAATTCATTTACATTTTATTATTACAGTATTTCGCTCAGTATTCTACATCCAACCTGTCAAATTGTAAACCTCACCTTGGGCCGTGAGCCACAAATTTATTATCCTCTAAAAATCCGTCAACGATTGGTCACCAAAAAAGGTTGGGGACTGCTGTCCTAAAGTCCTTATGTGTCCATGTTGTGGACCCTGGGGAAAAGAGACCGTCTTATTTGGCTGAACATCATCAGACTCTAGAAAATCGTTTTCGTTCTCCTCTTTTAATGAAAATTAACTCCTAAACTTCAGCGTACTCTAGCCCATTTTTTTCAAACATCAAGTTGTTTGTTTTTATCTTTACTATGTCTAAATGTATCTAAATGTTTTCTCCTTCTCTGCAGGGTCACAGTACATAACCTGCAAACTTCAGAACTGCTCTGATGGAAACAAGGGCAAGCCTTTCCCAGGATTTATCATCCCTAATTCCCTGGTGGTTCAGGATGAATACGTTTTCATCCAGGTGTGATTTTATGTCTGGCTTCATTAAAAGACAATTAAAAGCCGCACCACTGCATTCAATAGCATCTTAATGTACATTTATTAAGTAAAGGGAGGGTGGGGAGGAGCATTATCCTGGAACATGAAGGCATGGCTCTGAAATCACTGCGTGGTGTGCATCATGTTTTATATTAGAGCGCTGCTTAGCCATAAGGCACCACGTCCTAATTACCACGGAGCAGGAGTTTGATAAAAGTTGTAAGCAATTAGTGCGTTGACGTTCGCCTGAGATGTGACGCATGCTGTTGTGTTTCTCGTCCGTAGGTGCCAGTAGGCGGCCGGTCTGTTCATTATGTGTCGTGCAAAAGGAATACTTTCTACCCGATGAAGCTTCCTAAGTACACAGTGCCCAAGGTAAGACCATAAAGACGAGTGTTTGTTTCTGATATGAGCGCGTGCAGACGAAGGCACCGCTGAACCAGACTAACATTCATTTTGCTATAAAGTGCTTTAAAGTAAAGCTCTTTAGGGCAACTGGGCTGTAATGAGGGTAGAAGAAGAAGACATCTGAGTATATTTTCAAACATATATTGGTACATAGAGTATTAAAACTACAGCATTGGTCTACTTCATACTTGCAGTCTCAGTGGCTGGGTGATGGTTAATTATTTTTACGCTCTTTTTACGACTTTTGGACTCCTGGACAGTGCAGCGATGCTCAAAATAATATTACAAGTTTAATGCAACAGGATATATTGGACAGTTGTATTTTATAAAGAACTACAGTAGTTCATGTTGTGTGGCTTTAATGAAATAAGTCCCCCACTGCGGTCCGGTGCCAAATGACCTACGGACCGGCAGGGGTCCCCAGACCAGGGATGCCCTAGAGTATATTCTTGTTGTGTTTTAATTTTATTCTTGAAAAATCTGGCGCAGCGTACAAATGACGAGTAGCACGGATCCGTCTGTTATGAAGCAAAATTAATGTATTTAAAGATGAGGACTTGATGACCCCCCCAACTGTAGTGGTGTCTGTTTAATACTGCCGGACTACCCCTTTAATGCGGGTTTGACTCTGCTAACAAATCTCTTTAATTTCCCGAGGCTGAATAGTAAGCTCCGGATTTAGATATTTGATTCAGATGTGCAACATTATCATATTTCTTAGATGTTGTGTTTATTCAACACACACACACACAAACACACTGCTAAAATCGAATGAGTCTCACACACTCTCTCCCTGTATCAGATATATTTACATCAGATATTAATCAGTTCCACCCCTCCGAAAGTCTAGAGGAAGTGTTGTTGTTTTTTTTGAGCAGAAAACTCCCAAATTTGCATTTGCACAAAATAGTGTTTGGCCCTGATTTACATTCACTCTAAAAGCACAGCAGGGCGACTTAATGATTTGGCAGTTACAAACAGAGTAGACTCAATGCTCACTGCATTGTTTCAATCAATCTATCCAGCCACCCGTTCAACCACACGCTGTCAAAACTTCCTTGAGAAGGACACACGTCCCCCCCGCCCCCCGTCCTCGTCCCTGCAGAGTGGAGTAGATATGCAGTTTAATTAAGGAGCCTGTCCTCATTTCTGCTGCGTGGCACGAAACATCCGAGATGTAATCACTGCTGATCCCGACAGAGTGATGTCATATTCTCTGTGCTGCGATACAGATTTGGCCCTCCTTTGTGTTCGGAGAAATCTCTTCATCAACCCTCGTTCAGCTAACGAATGCTGTGTATTTAGGACCTGCAGATTATCAGCACTGATGATAACCAGGTGGTGGCAGCGATTCAGGACTGGCACCAGAACGACTCCTACAACCTGTACATGTCTGAGTCCAGAGGTCTGCTCTTCACCCTGATGCTGGAGAACGTCATGAGCAGCGGAGGGCCCGAGGGCAACATCATGATAGACCTGTATGAGGTAGGCGGCGGTCGTGCTGTCAACGGTTAGCATGTTTTTCTGTTTTTTCAGCGCTGATGCTCAAATGACAAAGTGTGATTTGTATTTAAGCAAATTGTGCTTTAAATCACTGCAATTACACTGAATGTACATTTAATAGCACTCCTACAACAGAAATTAATTTAGCACTGAAACGAGTTAGATGAAACATAATAAAAACTTGTGAATTACAAGTCCGATATTTCGTTTTTGCCGACATCTGATATGCTGAAATTGTCCAAATACTCAATTTCCAATTCCAGTAATATTTATTTATTTTGCATACAGTGCCCTGATTAGTAAAAAAGCTTAAACAAAAAATCTGCAATGCTGCCATCTAGTGACTTTCACTTTCACATGCAGTGATTTGTCCCCAAAACTATTTTTAGGGCACGTCATTTGATGAAACCCAGGTATTATAATCGAGTTTTCATTATCAGAAAAACTGATAACGATTCTTACCGATATTACATAATTATGCTAACATCGGGCCGATAATATCGGACATCCCTACTCGTAATGTAACATATCACTTGCCTTACGCTGTAGTCTGTCGCTGGACTGAAATGTTAATGGTGATATTGTATTGAATCTAATTTATACTCTGTTTTGGACCGTGTTCAGAATGAGAAAATGATTAAATATTCATACCTTCAACAGCTCTACATATGTTCAACCCTGAATACAGTTAAGGCTGGACTGAGCCGAGCCCACGCCAGCTGCAGTCATGCTTGGACTGCTGATACTGTACGGGCTGGTGTGCAGTAAATAAACACCACAGCTCCCTGGTTTAATGGAATAACTCTGGTTGAGATACGTAAAGAACTAAGAAACAAACTCAAACTTTCCTTAAAGTCCTCGCAGTTTCCTAATATGTCTTTGGTCACTACAAAAATTTGCTTTCTTGCTGGTAATATCATATATTTCTGTGATAAATACTAAACCAGGTCGTGATTTAAAAATGGGAGTCACGTTATAGAAGGTAACAAGGTGAAGAGTTTGGCCCGCCGGCCACCAGTTGATGACCGCTGTTGTCCTGTAAAGCAAGAGTACTAACAACATTAATGAATCTTATATGTTATTACTGCAGGCCTGCGCACAGATGCAGATCACATTCAAACACATACATGCAATTTGATCAACCAGAATTCAAAAATTCATTTTTTCATTTTTTTAAAACCTTGAACAGTATTCAATAGCTCCAGTCAAACGGATAAAAGTCGTTGAATGACTTTGATGGAGTTAAGATTCTTAACACGCACCGAACATGACAGAATGAATTTGTTTGTTTTTAGAATAAAGGAATGAAAAAAGTTTAAACACCTTAGAAGTGATGTCGTTGATCCACGCTTCAGAAGAGCAGGTAGCCAAGGTTGGTGGAAAAGAAATGTTTGCTCGGCTGTTATTTTAGACAAAACAAATAACAGCAAAGCAGTTTACCTTCCTACTCGCCTGTCACCCAGGTTCCGATTTTTTTGAATATAAAAAAGATACAACTATGAACTGTGAATGACAGTCATACAGCAAAGCAAGGTCAACACCAAACCAAAAAACAAAGAAAAACTCTTGTAATAAGTCACTATTAACAACACCGTATTGTGTAGAATCAGAATTCCTGACCGTCCCTGCGACTCCCACCCATCAATTCTTAGAAGTTGTTTTTTTTTTCCCAAAGCCAAAATTCTTAATATCCTCAAAATCCCTGTCCTAGAACTGAGTGAATTCAGTCCACTGTTTTAGTAGAAACAAAATAATTTGACGTTCAAACGTTGCAGGAAATATAAAATATATAAACAACTCAAAGGCCACCTGTAGGGGGCTTCCATGGTGGATGAACAGCAGACATCTGTTCGGAGACTTCTAGATTATCATAATAGCCGTGATTCCCTTGGAGTCATTAATATTACAAAAATATACTTCTGAGCCTAGTTAAAAGGGGAGTTTCTGACCCCTAGATGGTCCTTCGAGGTACTGCAAGAAATTAATTATGGCCCCTTGAGAAAAAGAATTACCCACTCCCACCCTTCTCCTTATCTGTACTGTTACCCACACACACTGAATGCTAACCTAAGGTTGTGTCACTGTCCACACACACACACACACACCGCCTGCCCACACCGCCGGCAGGAAGAGGCTATTTTGGTTTGGACAGTGATTTAACGCGGTTTAAATTGAGGAGAAACCCTGAACAGGAGCCGTTTCTGCTTCAGTCGGTCTCCAGATCTCTGCACCTCAAATACAAAGGAGGAGGAGAAATAACTCAAGGCCGTGCCATATGTTGTTTTGATTCCTCACAGTCCTACAGATGGTCCAAAATAGTGCTCCCTGTCAGAAACTTTCAGACTTCCCTTCCCTTGTTGAACAAGGCCTTCAGCTTTTCCTTAAGGCTGAATATCTTAGAGTTTTTTTCCCCGTTATTTTTGTCCTTACCGTTCTGCATCTCTCATCTTCTCAGGTCGCCGGGATTAAAGGAGTGTTCCTGTCAAATAAAGTTATCGAGAACCAAGTGAAAACTTATATCACCTACAACAAGGGGAGAGACTGGCGCCTTCTCCAGGCTCCTGCGACCGATCTCCATGGAAACAGAGTCTATTGTGAGCCGGTAAGTGAGCATCTGACATGAGAGGGATATGCTAATGTAAATCTGCACTGTACCTTAGGAACATATGAACAACACCAACTCCACTGTGTGTCGTAAGTGCGGTAGTTTGACTCCTCTTCATGTAACGTCAGCCAGTCGGTGTCACTGTCACCCAGTTGGACCACACACACACGGAATATCGTTTCATTCACTGAAAGAAGGTTAAAAAAAGGAAGCCCAGGACTGGCTAGTTCTATGCTAACTGTTACATTAAAACACACATACTTGACCATGCTATGCTTCATAAGACAAATCATATGCATGTTTAAGGATATGGTTTCCAAAATAAATCAGTCATTTATTGTATGTGTAGATTTATAATTAATAATAAAGGTCAGAAAGTACGTATTAGCATCTATTTAATTGAGACCTAAACATGATTTTTTAAATTTAAAACATCACAATTATTTATAGAACTAGAAAAAAACATCCTAAACATGATTTTTTAAATTTAAAACTCACAATTATTTATAGAACTAAAAAAAAAAACTTTAAAAGTATTTTAAAGTAAATGTAATAGAAAACAATCAGGAATGTCAACAAATGTCTTGAGTAAAATGAAATAAATAAAAAAAGTCGCACCTACTTGTCTTTATATTGGAAGTTAAAGTTCACATATAAGACATGACAAATATATTAACCTCATTGCATTGTTTTTGTTTGACGAGAAAAATGCCAAAAGAAGGATTTGTTTGACAAATCTATTTATTTACCTGACATACAGTGTGTTGTCACATTGACATTAAACACTTTATTATAGACCCTGTTGCCATGGAAACATGACTCCTCTTTTGCTTTCTTTTCAACTAACTTATAATAAAGTAGCCTCTGGGGTCAACCTTGTTCTTTGTTAACATCCAGCAGGATAATTAGCTTTTAAGAAAGGTTTTGCAGTTCATTCAGAGATATTTGAACAAAAATTTGTTTGTCAATTAGTTTTATATGAAATCCTTCACTTTTCACCCCTCATGACGAACTTGTCTCGTTGTCTTCTGTTCAGCCTTTCTGCTCCTTACACCTGCATCTCCACGTGTCCGAGAATCCTTACACCTCGGGAAACATCGTCAGCAAAGACACTGCTCCGGGAATTATAATAGCATCAGGTTAGTAGGCTCCATTTGTGCATACGCCAAGAGGAGAAACAAGTATTTTATTTAAAAAAAATGTAATTTCAATGGTTTATCATTTTAATAAAGGTTTTAAAATACTCTTTTTATACTAGGTGTGGTTGGACCTGAGCTCACCAGTACCAACGTCAGTATTTTCATCACCTCTGATGCTGGAAACACTTGGACAGAGGTACAGTAGAGGTTGCTGTTTCCAGCTTTTGGATAAGGTAGTAATTGGAAATGTAAAATTGCCCCATACTTTTTCATCAAGAACCCCCCCAAACAGCGGACCCCCCTTCACAAACCTACAGACAATACTACTAAATCTGTAAAGAAACATCAACTTTTTAAATTTCTTACTTTTAATCACTATTCAGTAATTATTACATTTGTTTAGCTTAAGACAATTAATGTCGTACATGCGCTAGCTAGCTACATGCTAGCTCAAGGAGCAGAGCAGCTTAATAACAGGCACAAACTGCCAGATCTAAACAGATTACGTCATGCTGAAATCGCAGCCGGCACATAAGATGTGTTCAAGTACCATCGGAAACTCGTAAAACTTGTGAAAATATTGGAAATTAAAAAAATTTTATACACTGCAGAAAGAGACAGTTTTATCTACAATCCTTTTGACAGGAGAAAACAACTTAGAAAGTAAAGAAAAATTAAAGTACTAAATCAATTAAAGACATAAATGTTCCATCTAAATAAAAAACCTCAAACTGCTCTGGAGATAGTACACAACACTCCACAGCACTCCTAGTGTTGAGTTGTAGCAGTCTCTCACCTTCTGCCTCCAGCTTCTCCATGGCAGCAGCTGTAAATTATATGGCTGACTGCAAATCACACATTTATTTCAGGAACATTTTAACTTTTTTTTAAAAAAATTTTTTCAACACTAGCCCCTGCTGGCCAATCCTGCTACTACACTTGGAGATACATTTCAGAATGGCTTCAAAACATTTCTGTCCCAAGCCCTATTTTTTTTATATATTAAAATGACACTTACAACACATAGGAAAAAATAAATAAAAGGAAAAGCTGCCATCTAACAGAGCATTTTAATGCCACACACTGAAAGGAACGATACAAAAGTTAACATTCACTCCTGACTGACGCGCAGCCGTTTTACACAAAAGACACTTGTTTTAAACTCTGAAACCGAAAGAATTCCGTATCACTGTGTTTCCTGTTTATTCCTCACAAATGAGGCTGCGGCGTCAAAACGTGTTCCCTGTCACTGATGTTTCCTTTATTTCCTCTGTTGGGATAAAGTAAACCACAGATTGTGGTGTGTGCAGGTTTTTCAGGAAGAGTACAGCGTGTTCTTTTTGAATCAAGGAGGATCTCTGGTGGCCATCCGACACACGCCTCTGCCAATTAGACACATTTGGTAAGGCCCTCCAAGGATGCACCATATCTTTTTCCAGCCTATACTCAATCTTCACAACAAGAAGGGAGTTCGTTTTTCTCTTTTTTTTTTTTTTTTCTTTTCCTGTTGAGGTTTCCGTACTGAATCCTGTTCTATTTGTGGCCAGTTTGTCTGTGATTCAATCGTTGCTCTTTTTTCCCCCCAGGCTGAGTTTTGATGAGGGCAGAAACTGGGACAAATATAGTTTCACCTCTTCTCCGCTCTACGTGGATGGGGTGCTGGGGGAGCCTGGAGAGGACACCCTCATAATGACGTAAGGAATATGAAACCATAAAAATTAAAATGTGCTTCCAGTTTGTTAAAGGCAAAAATGTCCCCTGTTGAAGACTTGGATGTTTTTAAAATACAGTAATTAGGTTTTCCCAGTCCCAGATGGGCCGTGGAGACACGTCTCAAACCATTTTCATTCCTCACCACACATTAAACAAAATATTTTTGTCTTCCTTTTCGCAGGATATTCGGTCATTTCAGTCACCGGTCCGAGTGGCAACTCGTCAAAATCGACTTCCGCTCCATTTTTAAAAAACGCTGCACGTCTGATGACTACGTGACCTGGCAGTTGCACAACGAGGTGAGAGCTTCCCGCCGCCCGTTTGACTGGTGATAGTGAGAACTGCTGATTAAACTCCAGTGCATTTCTTTTATTCAGTGGCACAACAAAGGAACGTAAAAAAAAAAAGAGGAGCCTCTGAAATGTTTATGATGCATTATTCATCACAGGGGGAAGTATGCATCATGGGGATGAAGAGAATCTTCCAGAAACTTAAAACAAACGCTCAGTGTGTCAAGGCCAGAGATCAGTATATTTCCCAGACGTCAGACTCCTGCCCCTGCACGGAGGCCGACTTTGAATGGTGAGTTTCATGTTCTCGATAACGTCTTGTACCGCTTCATTAAACTCAACTCACAACACCTTCCCAATCTCCGGAGGAAAAGTCTGGGAAGCAAACCTTCGGAAAAATTTGACAATTGAACGTTTGAAGACCGATTTAAAAAGTCTGTTGTTTTTTATTCCCCCGTTCTCTCAGACGGTTTCTCATAAAAAGTTTGTCATCACTTCTGTGTCAACACTCCCGAATCAAGTTAAGTGTTTTGGAGACAAAAAAAAAAGTTTAATGCTCCAGTAAAATATGGGCTTAGAGATAAAGATACATTTTGATTGTTGATCCCTAAAATCCCCTGAAATTAGTTTATTGTAAATAAAACAATAATTTACATATAAAACTTACATCATTTAAATCCTTAATATTCAGATTCTTATTACTGTTGTAAAAATAAAGTATTAAAGAGTCATCATCAAAGGCATGGTTTTACTGTTACTGTATAGTTGTTAGCTGTTGTGAACCTAATTTTCAGATTATGTACTGTAGTTTTACTAAATTCAAATAAACCTTCATCTTAATTCCTCCTCGAACTCAAAACGCTGATGCTGAAGATACTAACTGTTGCACATTGCAGATAGATTTTTTTTTTTTTTTTCAGCTTTGCAGGAGAAGAACTCCTGCGATCTCAGTCAATAAAGCTTCGATTTTAACTTCATTATTTGGGCAGGAAAAAACAGGGCCTGACATAATCCCACAGAAAGTTCTATTCAAGGATGTATTCTGTACGTACTCTGAATATGTTGAATAAAACCTCAATATTAACCTTAGGGTCAATCATCCCTTTCACACATGCAGCACAAAAAAAGAGTTTTCCTATTGTCCGTTAGCCTTTTAACGCCATTAGCAAACACAATGTACCATTAGAGGCAATCGAGTGATTTCTGCTGGAAATGGGAAACATATGTAGCTATTCCATTAAAGCCAGATGTTTGCAGCTAAAATAGTAATTTACTACAATGTATAGAGTGTATTTCAGATTCATTTGATGTTATCTTGATTGAAAAAAAGATGCCTTTTAAAAAACAAGGACATTTCGGTGTGACCCCAATCTTTTGAGTAGTAGTGTAAGTACCTGTTAGCAGATAATTTAAACAACTTATATAAGACATACTGTATATTTTATATATATATATATATATATTATTGGAATAATGTACACGATATCAATTTAAAGTAAGGAGCGAAGTGATCACATCATCTTCCAGATAATCATAACTGCTATAATTAGTTGCAGAAATGATACGATGTGCTTTGGGGATTGCACGTCTGCTGCTGTTCATTTAACACAAGTGCACTTCAGTAGATATGCTGTGTGAATAACGCTCACCTTATTTCGAGCTGCTTGTTTATCTGTCACAAGTATCAGATATAAGACAGATTTTATTGTACATTACTGCTGTCTCTCTGACTTTTGTCTCTGCAGTGAAATGAGCAGCACTGAATCCCACAAACTTTAAGACTCATTAAACTTTCGCTCTGTGGCTTCAGAGACTTGTTTTCCTGAACATGATGAAAAAAAGTAGGACACGTTCCCCCTGACTTTGCTGAGTTAAAGCTATACTTAGTCTGAACACAAACAATGCTACTTGTTCTGCCTCAAATGTTTGATACATAAAACATCAAACCTTAAATTCTCCGGGCTGCTGTGGTGGGAGAATGTGGTGTCAAACCTCAAAGAGCGCCTTTCACAGCAGATATGCTCACAGTGTGTATAATTCAGACCCGGCTAAGTTATTATATTGGCTGTTGTAAATAAATAACAACTAATCGTGAGCCTTTCATTTCTGTTATTGAACTGAAACAGTGACTACGGCTTTGAGAGACATATCGACGGGAGCTGCACGCCCGAGTTCTGGTTCATTCCTTCGGCTTCATCTAAAGATTGCATCACGGGGGACAGCTTTTTCAACACCACGGGGTACGCACCGCTTATTTCTACGCAATAAGGCAAAATGAGTAGTGGGTGGTTGGATTTAAGCTTAATTTGTGTTTGATGTAAAACCAATAAAGGACTTTTTAATCTTATGGGACAAGATGCATGATATTATATACTTCCATTCACTTTTTTGCTTTCCTCTTTGTCTCCAATAAATGCAAGCTATCGGCGGGCGTGGTCCAACAACTGCACGGACGGAACACTTCTGAAGTACAGCCCCAGGCGGGAAAAGTGTCACCGACAGGCCCCCAGAGGCCTCCAGCTCTTCACCAGCGAGGGGACACTGGTAGCAACACTGGGAAAGAATGTCACATTCTTGGTCTTACTTGAAGAGGTGATGAAACCGTTTGAATTTCATAATGATAGAAGCTACTGCTATTTATTTTCAGACATGGTATCTTGAAAAGATTGAACAAACGCAGGGTTCCCAAAGATGACATGGTATCTTGAAAAGATTGAACAAAAGAGTTCCAGAACAAAAGTTCCCAAAGACAGATCTTTAGGATAGTATCCAAATCAGGAGACTTTTGGATCCATACATGTAGCTTAAAACAACACAAGCTTATTTGTGTCTAGTGAAACATTAGCCCTCGACCATTTTTTTTGCATCACAGATTGTTGTATTGGGACTGATGCCCCAATAAGTATATGCAGTTAAATATATGAAAGGGCCCGTTTAGTTGAACACAAAACTGATACTCGCAGGAATTGAAGAAAGACATACGAAGATCTTTTTCGACAACTCTCTCGAAATCTCTTTTTAGCTATCTCCTGCCACCTGGTGGAAGAGTATTTACTTGCTCTATTTCGCACTGTTGTATAGACAAACCACATACCAACTGTGTTAAATGTGATCATTTTTTCAAAACAACTGTAGGAACCCTTGCAGTGTTGCTAACACTATTGTGTTTCCTTTTTGAAGGGCCTTGGCTCCACCACCAGTATAACAGTGGACTTTGGCGACGGGACCACGATATCCTACGTTAACATTAGCTCCATCGAGGACGGAGTCAAACACACCTACAGCAAAGTTGGAATCTACCAGGTCTCCGCTACGGCGAGCAACGCGCTGGGCTACGACAGGGTGATGCTCTACCTCCACGTATCCTGTGAGTCATCCAGTGGTTTCCATTAAGCATAAAGAAGTGTCTTAGCTAAGGTCGTTATTGGCTTTATGACTTCAAAGGTTGTACTACAGTATGTCTAGATTTATTTTTTTTAAGGGCGTCTCATCTCCTGTTGCAAACAGATATCGTGGACTGTGAGATCCATCAGCCACAAAATAGGTCATATTTTTCAACTCCACGTGGATCAAGGAGAGGAAAGCATGGCGTAATTGGAAGCACGGTTAAATGCGCTCCGACTCCGCCGCGAACATTAAACCAGCTCGTTAAAAAAGAGAAATCTCCATCAGAGTGCCACTCACCCACCCTGCCGCTCACCCACCCTGTGTAGGCTCAAAAGAGGCCTGTTTGTTGTTTCCTCACTGACAGAGTGGAGCAGCGTTTGTCAGTTTGGATTCTGCTCATTATAACGGGATCCAATGGCGACGCTTTCATGGCAGCTCAAAGAATGAAACTATCCACAGGCACTTGTCAACATTTTCCCCACCATCTATCTGTGCACTCACTCCAGAAAACCACTACAATGCCAAATGTATTTCTTCTCAAAGTGTGTTTTTATTTGTTGTATTTTTGGGCTAATTGTTTTTTTTTTATGAGGTAATGAACACGAGTCCTTCTCTCTCTGAAGGTCTTCTTGAACTGGTCCAGCTCTCCGCTCCATCGGTGGTCGTCAGGAACAAAGCGGTGAACTTCACGGCCGCCCTGCACCCCCTGAACGTGGGGACGGTCATTTACTACTGGTGGCTTGATAACAAAACAGAGGTGAGGCGGGATTTTTTCTTTCTTGTGCTCCTTTAGTTATGAATGAAGTGAAGCATGTGCTGTAGTCGCGGTGTCTCTCTGACTCCACTCTGTGTCTACGTATGTGCTTCTCAGCCCACTGTGACCCTGGACAGCACCATGTCTTTAACTTTCTCCAAAGAAGGAAGATACACCGTCACTGTCCAGGCTGCGGTCGGCAACACCGTCCATCAGGACCAGATGACCGTAGCAGTTTATGGTGAACTATAAATTCTCACTTTATTTTATTTCAACTTGTATGCTCTATAAAGCAGCGGTTCCCAACCTCTGGCCTGTGGACTGGTCCTGGTTCGTGGGTCATTTGGTACCGGGCCGCCACGAAATAACTAATGTTTTACTTCACGTAAAAAGATTCCTGTCATTTTAATATACTTTCTTAAGTTAAAAATAATGGCACATTTTCAAAATAATATTTCTTTTAGACTCAGAAAAATGTCTAAAAGATGCTTTATTTTGAATTACCTTCATTACTACTGGTCTGCAGTATAAGCCAGTACTGGTATATGTATATTCCAGTACAGTATACAATGCATTTACCCAGAGAAAATATATTTAGACCTACAATCAATATAACATTAAATCAAATTAATACAATTATTTTTTTATTTAGATTTTTATTGTCATCAGATACCATATATATACCATAAATACCATGTTAATTTATCTGGTGTGTGTTAAATAGTCAATAATATTACTAATAAAAGACATGTGTATTTACATTTACTTAGAAATTTCAGAACTATTTTGAAACTAATAGGCTACGGGTGCTCGATAGGCCCAGAGATATTGTTTCCATTTCACCTAGTCCCTAATCCCAGATTAGGTTGTGTGGGAGTACTTGGTCTGTGGAAACTGCCAAATCATCTTGAGGTCCACTGTTGTGGCGGTCCCCGATGGAAGAACGGTGTCGCTGCAAAACAGATCTCTCATTTGTGACCCAGATTTTAGGAGTTTGGAGCCATGAGAGATTTAAACACATTGATAAAAAAAAGGCTATTTATTTATTTATTTAACATTTGTCTGGAATAATAAAAAAAAACATTTATGCTTTCGTACCTCACCGTAAACAAAGAATAATAATACATAAACAGACTTTCCCATATTCATATATGTATTACATCCAAAAGGCTGTCTTTTCTGAGAAGATGATTGATCACTAGACGTATAACCAGGAAATTATTTTTTTACACTTTAATTACACTTTTTGTTTTGCCAACAGGTTATGAAATCATACAGAGCGTTGAATCACAGACACTCGTTTTTTTGTGTGTGTTACGCCCATTATTATTTAATAATACCAGTAACAAACAATAAACTGAATTAAATCAGAATGTTTACTAAGAAATGAAACCCGTTCTGTAGAAACGCGACGAATCATTTATTTACATTGTTCTAAAATGTCTTTTCACAGAATGGATGAATAACGACTTCATTTCTGACAATTGCAGATTATTTCCGGTCCCATGTCTTAGCCTTTTCTTCTAATTTGGACGACTCGAACCCCGGGGTGGCGGAGTGGAGAGAAGACATCTGCCGGGTGATAAAGAACTCGGCGGAATAGGTGGCTCGGCTCCAGCCTGTAGAGAAAAGAAACCTAATTCTCAGTGAGCGCTGAGCCGCTGACATTTCTATTCTTGGCAGCGCAGCATTTGTATTACATGTGGTCAGGTGTCAAGAGCTGCGTTCAGCCGCTCGCCTCACCTTCGCCTCTTTTCTCTGTAATTAGTCGCTCACCTTTATGCTCTCTGACATTTGAACAGGTTAAAGTACAAACCTGGGTGTAGTCTTAACGTAACTGTAGTCTTAACTATGAACACAAAGGGAGAAAAGGTTCTCTGCCTGTTAACAGTAGAATGGTTTGATTTAAATATTGTCTTGATTTGTGCTACTGTGAGGAAGTCACATGGATCTTTTTTTAAATTTGTGGACGTCGGAAGTGATAGCTGTCAACAAAAGGGGAGGAGGGTCATGGCAGAAAACTTTGTGGTAGTTTCTATTGTGTTAATGTGGAGAAGCAGAGGCTCAGTGGTTACTTCCTGCCATCCTCTAACCAGAGGGTCAGGGTTTGATCTAGCTAGCGATTCTCAAACTTTGTTTGTGGATTTTTACGCCCCACCTGCCCCCGGTCGCCCCAACAAAAACTTTGACAAATCACATTTCAAATTTATTGAAACTAACACCGAGTCTCGTCATTAGAATGGTTTGATTTAAATATTGTCTTGATTTGTGCTACTGTGAGGAAGTCACATGGATCTTTTTTTAAATTTGTGGACGTCGGAAGTGATAGCTGTCAACAAAAGGGGAGGAGGGTCATGGCAGAAAACTTTGTGGTAGTTTCTATTGTGTTAATGTGGAGAAGCAGAGGCTCAGTTCATTTTATAATGAACCAAAATCTATAACATAACAAATATCACAAAGTTCAAAAACAGAAAATAAAAGCCTCAAAAATGATCATGTCTTGGTCCCCCACCACTGCGAACCAAAATCTATAACATAACAAATATCACAAAGTTCAAAACCAGAAAATAAAAGCCTCAAAAATTATCATGTCTTGGTCCCCCAGCAGTGGGCCCCGCCCCACACTTTGAGAATCACTGACTTAGACCCAGACCCAAAAGTGCAAAACCCATATATAAACCTGCCATACTTTACCATTGTAGGCAACCAGTCAGTAAACATTCCCAAAGGTAAATGAAGTGAAACGATAATTAAAATTAAAAAGTTAATTCAAATCTAGCTGTCCGTAAATTCCCTGCTGTGACAGCTGTCCTCTGTTTGCTGAACAACCCAAACCTTAAGAAAAGAGAATCCTGTTTTTTTTAAATATAATTCCTCTTTTATGTTTTTAATAAAAATGAATGATCAAAGATTAGTTTTCTAATCTGTTCCCTCCACCACATTCTCTTTGAATATTTTATTTTTGCTCTTAACTGACCAAGAACTACATTTAAAAAATGCTTTCTAAATAAATTTAATTAAGTAATTAGTTAATTAGTTACAATTGATAATAAATTGCTAAATTCTGAATAATTAAAAAAATCATTTCAATATTTAGTTTGACTTGTCACTTGCAGCATCAGAGGAAAAACAAAAACATCTACGCCCAAATGTTTCTCCAAATTAAAAATATTTTAATTTAACTCGCAGTTCACAGAAGGAATTTGATTTGGAAGATGATTTCAAAAATGGAAGATTCAAAAGATCTCTGCACAAAAACGGACTGTGAAATAAAAAAAAAGAACTGCGAAACATAAGTGCAGCCCAGTAGGATAAGCACATCATTTGGTTGAATAGTAAAAAAAAAAAACCTAGAGGAATATATGATTTGAGGATTTGATCTACATTTGGAAAAAGAGAGAAAAGTCTTTGACCGGTTATCTGTGATAACAATTTCTGCTTGGTTTGATTGAACTCTGACCTTTCGTTCTGTCAGTACATACTGCACAGGAAGCTTTGCCCTTTACAGAACGTGGTGGGATTCAGTTGATCTATGCATTATCTCCTCAGACAGACTCCTGCGGTAGTCCATGATAAATTAGGCTCAAAGTCCAACTGGACGTTCTCATCAATACCAGGGACCCCAGAGCAGTTTATTGTGAACTTTGAGGCCCAGACCCTGTTCAAATTAAGTTTCCTCTTTGTTGTCGTCAAAGGCCACCAAAATCAGCGAGGATCAGCTCCTGGTCACGGTACTTCCAGGTTTACCAACCACAGCAGAGATTTTCATCGTGCCTGAGAAGCGAAGGAGAGACGGAGCGTCACATGTGAAGTGGGCTCACCTGGATCAGGTACTGACTCTGTTTTTCATTAAAGTCACGTTAGATATATCGTGAGAAGTCGCGGGACCTGACACAGCCATCAGCTGCTGTGTAAAATGTAACAGTATGTTTCTGTGTAGGAGGTCATGTTTCAGTTTATATTTGCTGTCCTAACCCTTCTTGTCTCGTCTCGTCTTATCTTGTCTTTTCATGAAGTGGTAGTATACAGTATATAGTCATTTCTTTATTTGAATTTTTTTAGTGATCATTTCTGTCATTTTATATATTTCCTCTCCTTTTTGGGGGCAGTGGTCACTTAGTGGTTAAGGAAGCAGACTTGGACTTGGGTCCAGAAGGTTTAAGGTTCGAGTCCACCAGCTGCCAAGTTACTGCTGAGGTTCTCTGAGCATGGCACTGTCCCCACACGCTGCTCCCCGGGCGCTTAAAGCTGCCCCCTGCTGACTTTGGTGATGGGTTAAAAGCAGAGGTCAGATTTGGTCATGTCCAGTGGTGTGCTGTGTCACAATGACAAGGAGTTCACTTTCCTTTCCTTTCTTCCTTTTTCAAATGTATCGAGTAACCTCCTTAAGAACAAACCAAAAATAATATTTTGTTGTGCAGTCTACTTTTATCTTTAATCAGCCCACAAAACTTTTTATATTTTTTTTATTTTCCAGAAACCTTTTTCAGAATGTCATCAATTAGTTGTTGTTCACACATTGAAAAGTTTAATTAAAGAAAGTTAAATTTGACTCAAACTATGGGTTAGCTGTTGTTGGAAAGTGTTGCCGGAATCATTTTCCAAATTATGTTTAACCACTAAAATTAAGTGAGCGAGTTCAAACACTGCAAGTCTCTTCCTTCACCAATTGGTTCTAGAAATGTTCAAACAACTTATCAAATCAGGCAGTTTTTTTTTTTTTAATCCAATTTCAAAAATTTCTTTTGTGAAAAGTTTCATTTGGTTTGAATCCTTTTTTTCTTATCAGCCAGGTGCCAGCTGTTCTCTCTCTCTCTCTTCATCCCGGTTCACTGTGAAAATCAACTTGTAGAGTCTTAAATCTTGTTTGGCTGCTGCAATACATCACAATGAGGATCATGTCTGCATTTATTTAGTGGGGGTTACATTATAGTTGCATGGTAACACACCGTTAGGCGCGGTTTGCTTGGAAAAGCTTGCACGCCGCCGCAGCAGCCGCCGCACTGCAATAAGGTTAACAATGACAGAAATAAATGGAGACATCATGCTCACCTTGATGGATGATCAAAATAGACGGAGTCTAAATTATCTACAGTGAGAGGAGACGACACCGCCATCCATTGATGATTCATGTTTGTGGAGGTTGCTTTATTATTTCACTAAAAGGGTCAGCAGTAATGAAGACAGTGATTTTTGTTGAAATTTTAATTTAAAAATATATATTTATATATATATATTTCCACTCTTATATATACAATATATAAATTAAGTGGATCTGTTACCATCTAGCTGCTCATTGCAGGGGCTGCATCATAATTTTATCATGAATATTCTTGGCATATTTCACGTAAAATTCAAAAATGTGTCATCATTTATTTATTTATTTATTTATGTCATGATCAAAGCAGTCGTGTTCAGCAAAGTTGGAGCTGGTATCTATAAAGTGATGTACTTTATATGTACCGGTGAACGTGTAATGTGCAGTATGAACACAAGAGGGCAATGTCTTTCTATGTGAACGCAGCGGAAAGGCGCTGAAATGAGCGTCACAATTCTACATATACTGTAGTTGTATAACTCCTGAGACAGAGAGAAAATAAAGTCCATTTTAGCCATGCTGCTACGTCACTATTTTAAAACCAGATGCCCGGATCGTTCAGATCGATCTGTTATCAGGTTAAAGGAGGCCACCTCAGATGTAAACAACACTATTATTATTATTATCGTTATTATTATCATGCAGAGCCGTTTCTCAAAAAGCCGAGCAGGATGAGCTCATTTATTCATCATAACGGTGAGCACCTCGATGTATCACGGGTAAACATCATTTTCGCTGCCTTATAGTGAGTCTTGAACTACGTTAATAGGTATTTAATTACATTGATGCATCATATAATTGGCAGCACGGAGGAAGGAGACAAACTGGGGCAGGCAGCCGGGATTGGGAATTAAAGAGATGTATTTATCTAAAGCCTGTCTGATTACCTGGCAGAACCTCACACACAATGGGGTAATAAATCTTCACTTGGGTCTTCTCATCTCCTGTGAATGACTTGCAATGTGGATGCGATGAGTGAGCGTGGGCCCCACACTCACACACACACACTCTGTGCTGTGTGCGTGTGTGTGTGCGTGGAGCAGCTTATTAAAATGTGTAATAGATTTACTGACCCTGATATGCCACTAGAACAAAAAGTAATTATTCATACTGTGTAGTGCAGTCTAATTTTAACCAGTGGAAAGATTTTTTAGAAAGAGCGGGATGGAATTAGTGAGGCATTGCTAAGGACTCAAATGGGCTCCGGGAAGGCGTTTTACGCTCTTGTTAAATGTCTGCTTCATCTAGGTAGGAGGAAAGAGGGAAAGAACATGACGCACATGAGGCACAAAAAAAAACAACTGAATTTTTATGTTATTTTATTTTATTGAGCCACCTTGATTTATGTTAGCTTAGCCTCGCTAAACTCTCACACCTCACCACTGTGATCTTTACAAAAACACATACTCCAAAGAAAAAATGTTCTTTGGTGCGAAAGAAGATTAATTTAGTTAAATGTCACTTCCCCTCTGTGAGCAGACCAACCTTTACCTGATAAGGTTTCCATCGCTGAGAAATTTCCGCTGCATTTTTGATGCATCAGGTTCGGGCTTTCTCCATGTGTCATATCAACATTTGCTTTTCCTTAGATGGAAGCGAAAATTCTGATTCATAATTTAGGCTTCGGGATGAAATGACTGCCGTTGAAATATTGATGACTTTGGTATATTGCCGTGGTGCAGCTGCTAACAGAGCCTTTCTCTGCTCACCAGCTCTCACAGGTTCTGCTAAGTGCTCTCAACCAGGACCTCATCCAGTTCACACTCAAACCAGGGGTGCAGGTGAATGTATATGCCACGCAGCTGTCTCCAGGTGGGTCTAATATGAAGTGTTTCAAGTTGGCATGACAACCGTTTACAGCAGGGATCGTCAACTGTTTCCTTGGCCAAGGACGGGCAAACTTGTAGGCCAAATTTATGTTATTAAACCTAAAACTTCAGAAACAAATTTGATTTCTGCTGCCATCTACTGGTGTTAACTGAAATTACCATCAATTAATGCAATGCATGAAACAGAGGGAATTCAATGGGGTCTTTACCACACGTTGCATCAGTGCTTGGTGGGCCGGATTTGAAAGCCCAATGGGCCGTATCTGGCCCACGGGCCATAGTTTGCCCATGTCTGTTCTGGACAGACAACTTGGCAGCCGGACACTAAATTGAAAAAAAAAAAAAAAAATCAGATACAAGATATTTTAATCTTCACAATTTTGGAATCTAGTCACGGGTCAGATGGAACGGTTTGGTGTGCTGAATTTGGCCCACGAGCTGCATGTTGATTACTGTCCTATAGGCTGGTACAATTGGCAGTAATTCAATGACTTCTCTTACAGTAACTACTAATATACCTCAGTAATATCTAGTTGATCCGACAAAACACGTGTGATCCCGTGGAATACGTTGTCTTGCATTTGAAATATTTCTTTGCGTTTAAATCATGCCATAATGATCTGTTATTAATGGTGATAATTATTGTTGTAAACTTTTGTGCTTTAATTGTTTTTGGAACAAATTATCCTGGTTTACTTTGACAGTTTATATCCACTGTAAAGATATAAAAAGCTTTTTGTGCTTTCACTGAACATCGTACATAAATCTACATGAAGACACTGTGTCCATGTGGAGACGTTTGTGGCAAGTAAAGGTCATTATATTTTTATTGTTTTTGTTAAGAAAAACCAGGATGACCAGGATGTGCATTCTGATAACTTGTTGCCGTATAAAAAAAGCATGGTGTTGTTCCTGCCATTAAAATGTGTTTTTAATTAGAGACAGATCTCAGCTGTGTACAGGCCAGTCAGGCAGACTGATTGACGATCTACAAGCATGAGCCTTTATCATTTGTGCAGATTGGGGCCTGGTATTGTCCTGTAGAGAGACGCATGAATCAGTTTCCCAACAGTAGTAACAGTAAGAAAAAAAAAATTGTATTGCCATTTGGCTTCTCGGATAAAAATCATGCGATTACCAAACTACTGATGTGATATGTAATGTAATTAGATGTTTATATTGTACACCAGCTGTTCTGACCTCCTCTCCACTCCCCTCTATAGCTCAGCTGGGGTGATGCACTCCCAATTCCCACACCTTGGAGAAAACAGACAAAAAATAAAAAAAAAAAAAAAAAAAAAAAAAGCTTACTTATAAAGGCAGCATGTTTAATCATGCTCCAATGACCAGTACACGCATACATTTACAGCCTGTGTTTATTTACTTGTTAAAATGTCAGCATTAGATTTCGAATTTTAGGAAGGAGGAAAATATTATTTTTAATGATCTTTTTGTTTTTTTAAAAATAGTCCAAACTGCCATCACAATTTTTATCTGGTGCACCCCCTAGTGGCAGTTTGTAGACCCCTGGGGTGCACCAGTTTGTTATTGGTGTCACATATTGTTGGAAAAGAAGAAAGTGATGTCTCTTACATTTATGTGAAAATGAAAAAAAAAAAAAATCAGATTCCTAATTTCAATTCTTTCTCTTTTACAGCACCCCTGGTGGACAGCAGCGTCAGCGGCCACAACAGTACTGCGGTCATCCTCCTGGTTTCAGGCCTTGTGATGGGACTGGCCGTCTTCATAATATACACACTGAAAAGGTACACTGTCTCAGAGACGGTGAATTTCGGTGTAACCGCGGCCGGTGAACGGTTCAGTAGGACGTGTGAAAGAATGTGTGCTGAAATATCAACAAAAACATGACCGTGTTACCAATTTATTGGTTTATTTGTGTGTGTGTGGAAGGGAGTTGGAAGGTTGCACGTGCTGCCATTTGCATAATGGCCCTATATAGAGTCGGTCCCATTATCTCCGAGCGAGCACCTCAGAACTGAACTCCAGAAGATTCCACAAGTATTCCGACTCCGTATGTGTGTGTGTGTGTTACGGACGTCTGCGGCAGCACAATAATAGCTGGAGGAACGAGATGATTCCCCTCTGTCTCAATCTGCGGAATATTACAGGGAATGACAGTCTAATCAATTCTCCCACTGTGCTGAATGGGTGTCATCGCCCTGCAGTTATCAATATTCATCTATCTGACAATGTGAGGGCTGACCTTTCGGAAATGCTAAACACAGGCATTCAAGGTGAGGCGTCCTCCGCAGAATGGCAGCAAAGGTTGAGGAGATAAGTTGTGAGAACACATATATTATACAGTGGGAGACATACAGTAAATAGGATCCGCCGCCGCAGGTAATCCCCATGCCATTCACGGGGAAGCGATGGCTCCCCTCCTTCAGCGGCGCGGAGAGTTTTACTCATTACGAAGTAAAGCACTACTTAGTGTTAACTTTCGGCATTATAATAACTACATCAAGGAATCAACTCTGAATGACCTCAGATGTCGCGGCGCCCAGCTGCGGCTCGGAGTCACCGGGGGAAAACCATGTGAAATTAGAAATGCAAGATGGTTGGTTTTGAACAAAATTGAGTGGGGGCGGCGGGGGTGCTCCGTCGGTGGGAATGAAAAATTGATTGAAAAGCGAGGTGAACAATATGAAAACTGAGAAAGAGCAATGCCCAGCGGAATGCCAAACGCCCCAGTTTCCAGCTTTCAAGCAAATCCTGTCCCGTTCTTATCAGTTAGAAGTAGAACACAACACATTACGGCCGGTGAAAACATTAGTGAGACCAACCTGGTGGCAGCTTTCCATTAACTTTTCTTTTTTTTTTTTTATATCTTTTCATTACCCACTGCATTGACGACAGGAACTTTCCGGCCATCAACACCTTTGCGGCGGAGCAGCCTGACAAAGAACAGGAAGTCATCCCCACAGTGACCTCCATCCCTGTCCAGGGCTCTGAGGGAGACAAGATGGCCTCCATGGACCATGTGGACGTACACTTGGACACCAGCAGCAGAGGTAGTCATTTATTATATTCCTCATATACAGCACATATTTAACGGATATTAAGGAATCAGTTAGCAGCATTTTCCCAACTCAAATTTACACTGGGCCAAATTAAAAAAAAATGGGACAAAAACACGGGCCAAACTTAATATTTATTGAAAAATTTACGGGAATCAACTCTAGTACACATTTGGTATGATCTCACGGACGGGATATAATCACTATGTGGACCAGATTTGGCCCCTGGGCCTGAGTTTGACACATGTGCAAGGCCTTGTTCAAAATCTACCCACTTCTTCTACTTTGGCTTTAGACCGCACTTCTGCATCTGTTATGTTGTTTTGCTGCCACCTAGTGGGGCATTATGGCACTGGTAAATGTTTCAATTTAAAGTGCGAAAAATACGCACTGGTAAATGTTTCAATTTAAAGTGTGAAAAATATTTCATTAGAAATATGGCATTGTAAATGTGAACTTGATTTTTTAAAGTTGGCATTGTAAATGTGAACTTGATTTTTTTTAAAGTGAGATATTTGACTGTATTTTAGTGAATTTCTAACTGTTTTGATTGTCAAGATTTCAACTTTTTATCTTTTTCCTCGTGTATCGTGCTACTGTATGTTTCCATTTTATTAGGAACAGCGGAGATTAACATTTCGATCGTTGGGAAAATGTAACAAATGTAGTTTCGCTTGAACTGAAACTACACTTCGATGACCATGAGCTGTAGAAACACTTTGCTTATCTGTTCCTCTGAGGAAGAATATGTGAATGAACCTTAACTAGGACAGTGTTACTGCACTGCTGTTGACTTATGTTTATTTAGGCTAAAATTTTTTTTTATTTTTTGGATAAATTATGCAGACAATTATCTGATGTCAGTCGTTCAGGTATCTCCATCTCCCCGTGCGTTGTCTTTAAAGCTGCCAAGACGCAGCCATTACTTTCCTTCACACATTTACGCGTATATTTATGTGTGAGTTTGATGTGGCTACATATTAGCATTCACAGATAAGTGAGGCGCAATCAAGTTCCAAGCCAAAGTGGTGAAACGTCTGTGTGAATTATTTGACCCAATAAAATAATTAGTGCATCAGGAAGGTAGCAGACTGGAGAAAGCATTTTCATCAAGAAATATCTATGAGGTTCCGGCTGATTTACCTCCTCCAGCCGCTAAACAATCGACCGGTCCAAGACAAATGTGTTTGCCTGGAAATGAAAAAGAAAAAAAAAAAAAACCACCTGCATGCAGATATCTGCATAAATTCCCAGCTTTTCCTTCTGCCTTTCTCTCCCTTGCCAGGCTACCTGCCATCGCACACAGACATCAAGCTCTCTGATGAAGCGCCCCATGTGTTTTAATGTTGAGCGTCTATGACCGACTCAAATGCAATACATCTTCTTTGGCAGTTACTTCCAGCGAGCGATGAAACGATGGTCACAATGAACGGTCTCAAGTGTTTCGCTACCCATGCATGGACGGACCAGTTCACACTGTGCTGCCTAATCCCTCCGAGGAGACTGTACAGATTTATACCCCGCTTCTTTGAAAACAAAAAAACAAAAAAGGGACACTTTTTGACTGAAAATACTTTGTATTTTTCCAAGGATCTGCCGATCTGATCTTTTTATGTAAATATCGTCCTCCATAATGGAAACAGTGGAAGTTATTTGTCTCGGCTGGGTTACAGCTGTGCCTGCTCAAGTAACGATATTACGGAACGGGCGGAACACGAGTGATGTGTAATAATATCGTGAATTATGATGCTTTTTATTCCTGCTCTCCGGGCTTGTGTTTGTGACGTTTCCTTTGTTTTTTTTTTTACTACTTGGATGTAGCTTCTCGTCGAACAGAGGCTTGCTGAATTCAGGATCTGAAGTCCGTTTTAGTGCCGCTCCAAATGCCGCACATGTCATAACAAACATGAGATGGGAAGATTAAGGATCCCTGTGTACAGTAGGCGAGATCCAGAATGATCTGTCTTCTTTGGAGCCCTAATTTATTTCAGAGACACTGTAATCACCGTGAATCCCAAACCCACCTTTAAAACAATATTTCACACGGGCCTTCTGATCTGAATCCCACGTATGGATCGGCGTCGCTGCGGCAATATGGTATCTGATTTGATTTACAGCGAAACAAAGCAGGCGGTTATAAACCTGTACTCTGTGTTGACGTGTTGCCCCGGAGCGTTTCGTGTTCTTTTTGCTTTGCAGAAGTAGAACCGGAGTTTGATTTAACTGCAAAAAAAAACAAAACAACTTCTGCTTCCGGCAGTTAAGGCGGTGAAGTGTGCCCCATTTGTGATTCTAATTAGTCAATACTCAACAACACAACCGCTAAAGCACAGGTCCAGTAGTTTAATGGCGGCTTTGGACTGATGCCACTGTGACAGTGTGAAAGACGGCGATGGAACTCTCCTGATTTTTTGATTTTTTATTCCTGTGTCAAAAGAAAAAACAACTTTTTGTTATTTCAGACTGTTCGTAGTAACGATGATGAATCCAGCATCCCCTCATGGCATTTCCTCACTTTAGAGCAGAGCAGAGGAGCCTGCTCTCTGTTCTTGGTTTGGCCCCAAGGACTCGGCGGACAAAAAGGCTGCACATTTGTTCATCTTCCTTGCTGCGAGGGACACGGAGACAGAGAAAGACGTATCTCCTGTCAATAAGGCTCAGCCTACACACAGAGCTCTGGTCAGATACTGTCTCTTTGGGATAAGTACTGAAGTTTTTCCTTCGTCCAACTTTTCTTTTTACGTGCTGTCAGCATCACATGTCAGGGAGATGAATTGACCAGAGGCTCCTTCATGCTTCTTCCCTCCAACCCCTGCGTTTGAGCCCGGAGCATAAATAAACTCGTGATCGGATGGACTCTTTTCTAAGCACTTTGATCACCGGAGGAGTTTTATTTCGTTGCTCAATATTTATTTCAGTTTTCTTTTTTTTTTTTTGTCCTGCTTATGATTCCTGTAAATATGAATGTAAACATATTTGCATGACGGTATTTTTTTTTTCCTACTCGAACAGACGTGAAAATGCGTCTCCATCAGACGAACGTGAAACGTTTTTAATCAAATGCAGTGTCTCCCGTTCCTCCAGAGGCTAGAGGAGTCGTTCGTTACAAGTGATGTGATTAATTAGTGGGTTGTTACTGTGTTTTCCATCTTGCAAAAGTAAACATGGTTGCAGAATAAAACAGAAACTCCCATCCACACTTTACCCTTGCTGTTCCTGCACCACTACACTACGCCATGGTCAATGTGTGGAGTATTCTTTTATCAAATAATTACCCCCCCCCCCCACCCTCTCCTCCCTACACACACCCTGATGGATGTTTTTTTTGTGTTTAGTGGATGTGGATGTTAAAGTCAACCCTAACCTTAAATTATTGGTTTTCTGTCACTTGTTTTGCTCTGTATTCCGTTTTCCTCTAAATGAGATCATAATTTACAAAATGGACTTCTCTCGCAAAAGAATTTGAATTTTTATTTTTTAATTTTTATGCAGTAGACATCCATTCACCCGGATTTAACTTGTTATTTTTCTTCCAGGCATTTATAGTCACTCGTCCTTTCCCCTAATTATGTCTCTTGGACAGTTTCTCATGGCGCATATATTACATTAGAAAAATCCTCCAACACACCACTAAACAAGATTGTGACACAGGAAGTATATGTAATGACATATAATGACCCTATAGTGTCAGTTTACTCACAATTTACTGTGAAACCTGGGCCTGTTTAGTTGAACACAATGCTGATGTACTCACAGGAATTGAAGAAAGACACACTGTTTTATTTTGTTGTCGTCCCTGGTGTTGTTGAATTGACGAAGCAGAGTATTTTTAGTACATACATTACAGTGTTCAGACTACTTAAGTGAAATTGGATAATTCTCTGGATTACACCTGATGATTTCTCCAGATTGGGAATCGCTGCTCCAGGAGAAGCAAGGCTTTTAGTTGAGTTTAAGTCCCTTATTAGTTCATGAAGTTAGTCTTTACAGCCCACACACACGACCATGCGAGGCACCATTAGGTATGTGGGGCTCAAACCTAGGACCTTTTGCGTGTAAGGTAGATGCGTGAATCAGGCGTGATAACCGCCACCATCAAACATTTTGGGAGAAAAATACAGATTTAGACTGCTGGTGAGGACAGAGCTCATTTTTATTGACAAATGTTGTATGTTTTATGTCCTGTCTTTCCAAAGCGGGCATTAACACGCCGAAGGTTTCAGCGTAGCCATTTGCACGACACACTTGGGGCTGAGCAGTGAGGACAATAAAAAGCACCAAGTAGCCTGGAGTGATTCTAATGGGCCAGTTCCTCAGCTCTCCCACTGTGCTTCAAATTAATTATCTCCTCTCCAGGTGTACGACATGCGTGCACGCACACACACACACGCACACACAGCAATCAAGAAAGAATTTCCCAGTCTGGGCCGCACCTTGAATGAAAAATGTCCCACAACAATAACCCACAGCAATATTGTGTTAGCCACAGTGTGAAATTGATGAGCATGTTTCCTTTCATTGAGCGCCACATTACAGTGTCTGGGCGCCGCGAATCATCCATTAGTGATTGTCACCGTTCAATTTGATTGTGCGCCGCCGAACATCCCAGGGCAGTTAGAGAGAGGCCTCGGTGCTAATTCAGACTGAGAGCAGGAGCAACTGGAAGACTCTAGGGGCACGGACGGCGTCTGGAGCGATCAAGATTGGTGTGCGACGTGAAGCCGCTCAAGTGGCGAAAAAAACAAAACGTAAAACGAAAGAAACAAGCAGCAGGTGTTAGGGTGTTCGTCGGCCTAATAATCAAACAAACTTTTACATATGGGACACCGGAAATTCTTCTTCTGCGACATCGTGTGTGTGTGTGTCGTTTCACGACAACAGCCTCAGTAATTGCTGCCATTAAATAGAAACCATCTGTAAGTGGTAACTTGAGTGATAAGAGTGATGGAGGTAAAATGAAGCTCAGTCTCTCAGTGTCAGATGGAAATCTTTACGTGGGTGTTATCACACTTCTGTCCATTAAAAGCTTCCCAGAGAGCCTCTTTGGGATCGTTAAAAAACGGCGAGCGGAGAAGACGCACTCTGTGCACCCGTGTCTGAGATAACGGAGGTTACGTCGTCGAAAGCGATGCATCACACGTCCATTTGTTTTCAGGGTTAACGGTCGCGACATCATCCTCGTACCTCGTTTGGTGACGGCCAAAACAAAGACGCGTCCCGAGTGTCCTGCGGCCTGGACGCAAGCGTGAACCACATTAAAACCAACGTACACGAGGGTCATATAAAAATACATTTATTTTGAACAATTTCAAAATGGGAATTAGTTCACAGTAAGAAATATGATTCCAAACAATGTGTAAAGTCGTGTGTTACCATTGACAAAGAGATACAGTAGTATAGATCATGCACAATCGTCTGGAAATTACACATCTGTGGTAGTACAGCTGTTGAATCATTTCTATAGATATATTTATAAAGACTTAAATAGATAAGTAATTCCGCCAGTGCTTTTAAACTGAGCAAGGTGTTTTAACAGTATTCCTGCATGTATTAGCTTTGATATGGAATCTTACAAACATTCAGTTCAATTTTGGAACGCGAAATCCGAGGGACAGATGGAGCATAGCGCCCACTATGTAAATACTTCAAGATACGAGCTATCGGAGATACGAGTTTTCCAGGTTACGATTAAGCAACTTTTGCAAGGTTTTTCTCGCGATACGAGGAAAATCGCGATATCGAGCTACAAGTGTTCAACCGATCAAATCCAATCGATATATTTCTTTATCTCTATGTTTTTGATGTTTAAATGGGGGGTGGGATTTTATTTAATGAAGTAATGGTATATTTTAGTGAGTTTAATATCTGTGGAAAAGACGGTACATTTTGAAAAATGAAGTACATACAAAAATAATACTGGTCCAGTGCCACAGGTGATTGTCCCATGCCAAACCCTGTATGTGTAACATGTGGCTTCCAGTGTTATGCTGTTTTCTCATCATTTTATTTTGTTAATTTTTTTTTGGCTGTCTAATATATTTATAAATTACATATACGGTGGAACCTCGACATACGAGTATTCCGAGATACGAGCAAGCCTTCGAGCAAATTTCTGCTTTGAGATACGAGTAAAGATTTGAGATACGAGCACGCTTATAGACGCTGACACTAGGTGGCACCATTCACTTACGTGTTCGTCGACTTCCGTACACATCTCCAATATGAGTCTTTCATATTGTTGCGTTATCTATCGTGATTTTCTCTCTATTTTGTGCATTATCCTTCATAATAGTGATGAGTCCTTAGAGAGTGAGTGGTAAGGATGGCAGAAGAAGAAGAAACGCATGATGACCATGGAAATAAAGAAAGAAATTGTCGATAAATATGAGTGTGGTGTCCGCTGAAGAAAAATAAATAAATAAGTAAATAAAGTTAAAGAATTAAGTTAAGCTAAGTTCAAGAAAAATAAATAAATAAGTAAATAAAGTTAAAGAAGTTAAGCTAAGTTAATTCTAATTTTATGTAAGTTACGTAGCGTACGTGTAAGGTACGATACGGAATCGGATTATGCTCGTATCTTGAGGTTCCACTGTATTTACTACCCTAATGTGTATGTTATTTAATTTCGACTTTAGGCTCTGTTATAAAAGCACCTGGGAATTACTATTAAAAACATCTATTCATCTATTTAATAACTCTTGTCCTTAAAGGTTCATAGATTCTTGTCCTAAATCTTATGTGTTTTCACAGATGGTGTGACCGTGTGGAAACAAAGCACTGGCCGATGTGTTTTGGTGACTTTACAGTAAAGCAGGATGACATTCATGACAGTGCTCAGTCGGTTTACGCAGCCCCCAGCCTGCTCCACGTACACGTTGACTTCCCCTGGTCTTGGAGAGAGCACCATGTTTCCTACACATCTTACACAGTGAAACCGACTACACATGAGATGCACATTCACATTTGTCAGACTGACCTTTTTTTTGTAACATAGATTTATTATATTTACAACCCAAAGACCTCTAGTTATATAAGGCAGTCAATGTGTTCCGCCCATGGTGACAACAATTTAACATTTAAAGCCCTGGATGACGAAACGACGTACCTGAAAAGGCTAAATGTCTTTAAAGTATCTCGTGACATATAAAGTGATAGCTGATCCAACTTACCGAGTATATTTTATACAGTATACACCTTACAGTATACACCTTATTCTCTACTATCCCTGTCTATTTACATTATTTAAAATATGTCTTTTCCCCCGGGACTGTTTCACACGGCAGCCCGTCAACTGTGATTCCCAGATATTTTTTTTACTATGAGTGTGTGCCTTCTATCTGTGCAGTGTCCTCACATACGGTTTAATACGATAAGAACCAGACTTGCTGTCAAAGAGAGTAAAAAAAAACTGCCAGTATCAGCAGAATATTCACAACACGGCCATAGTAGTTGTCACACCGAGGCAGTGGTTAAAAAAGACGAGAGAATCGTAACGTTATTCGGACACTTAGTGTTGGGTGCTGTGATTTTTATCGGCCGGTTTCAGCAAATCACCGACCCCTGAGCCTGGTCATCGTCGTAGTTTATCACTAGATACTAACTCTATGTGTGTACAGATAAAAACAAGACTTTTTTTTTTCTTTTTTTTTTAAGAGCTGCGATTATTGTAACATAAAATAAATAGGTTGGAAAACAGTGCCGAAAAAAGCAAACAATTTCAGTACAACCGTAACACAACAATCGGTACTCACTCCGTCACACAGCTCACGTCTTTAAACATTGGTACAATTGGGGAACTCCCTTGTCACGATTCTCTCCATATTTCTTCCAATTCCTCCTAAAACAAAACCAGACAAAAAACACAGACTAAATACACAGACACTCAATCTTTCTCAAATTCAAATCTAAACCTCAACCCCCCCGGCAGCTGTGGTATTTTGGCTTTTTCTGAGCGACACTCATTAGGGGGTGAGAAGAAAAAGCAGCTTTGAACCATCAATCAGACAATTAAAAGTTCAATTTAGATTTCCTCTAATCTCTTCTGCCTGAAGATCAAATGCCTTGTACGTACACTAACTATCAATTATAAATTTGTCACCTAGGCCTTTTTGTTGAACCCCTCACCCCCCTGTTGTTTGCACAAAGGAACAGAGCCTGCACGGGCATGTCGTCGGTGCCGATGCAGGGGCTGATAAGATGGGACTGCTGTGACAGGAGAAGTCTTTCTGATTGTGCCGACAAAGGTGGCATTTTAATCTTCACCTCTGTCGCTCATTTGGATATGTTGCTTTATATAGAGCTGAATCTTACTAATGAATCCAGAACCCCCCCCTCCTCACTCTCCGTCTGTCTCTGTCTGTGTGTGTTCTTCTCAAAAACACATCAGTGTCACATCAGGTGGCTCTAAAATGCTACAACCCTAAAAATTTTTTTCTGTCAACAATGAAAAATTGAAAGAAAGAGTTCACATGGGGATTCACAACCAACTATCGTATTTTTCGGACTATAAGTCGCTCCAGTGCCCTGTAGCAGCTGTCAGTGTGGAAATAACAAATGTAAATTTTCAGTGGTACACAAGCCTAGAGTGCCCTCTAGTGGCTGTCAGTGTGATGGAAATTATATTTTTATTATATATGTCCCACCTGAGTATAAGTCCCAAACCCAGCCAAAGGATGAAAAAAGTGCGACTTATAGTCCGTAAAACAACGGTACTATATATCCAGTGTGTTGTATGATAACAGAACTGACAGACATTCAAACAGATCTGTTTGCAGACTTTTCATTTTAATCTTAACTTGTTTAATCTGCACACAAAAAATAGCCCCTTCCCCGCCCTCAGCAAACAGACATACAGTATATTTCATTTATTAGGCGATAACTGACTTAATGACAGGCTTTATTGTTCTCAGGTGTGTCTTTTAAAGTGCTGATTATTTGTTCGTCACCAGCTTTGCTGAACTTATTTCTCGTTTCATTATAGGAAGTGCATTTGATTTAGTTTAAAAGGTAAAACAAAATTAGATAAATAAATACTTTACTTTTAATATTCCTTCATAAACTCTCTATCGCAGGACTTTGGTGGTAGATAATCCCGATCATTTTCTTTTTGCATTTTTCAAGCTAAAATTAATCTTCCAACACTGTTATTTTTACAAGTGAGATTACACCATTAATCACCCTGAGTAAATAAAGCAGGATCACACAGGTAACGGGGTATTAATGAATACAGCAGGCAGTAAATTAATTTAATCTAGTGAGTGGTGAATCAGAAGGTTTCTCGTTGCGCTGCCTTTTTAAAAGTAAATGCTTTTGAAGAAAGGAAACCAGGGTTTAATTTGTCTCTGGTCAGCAAGGACCGGGAAGAGAATAAACAGCTGAGAAATGAGAAAAAGCCAGAAGTGCTGAGTGACCAGAAAAAAGGCCTTTAGCCCACATGTATGTGTCAGGAGCGCTGCAGCGCTGCCGTAGTCCAAGACCGTCAGCAGGGGGGCGAGGCGGTCTCATTGAAACTGTATCGCTGTGTTTGTCAGTGCATCAGAACGTTTACTTGCTGCTGTGATATCTGGAGAGTGCACAGTTGGCTCTCACCTCGGTACATGAGGTGAGAGCGTTGTGTAAAATATGTTGCATTGAGGAACGCTCCAGCTGTGCTGTTTGCTATTTTAAAGTCACTTTAGTCACAGAGAGCTCTTAAAAAAACATATTTATATTTATAGGGCGGTCAATTGCGTTAAATAGAATTTATTTATAGGGCGGTCAATTGCGTTAAATAATGTGAAATTGAATTTGATTAAACGGTAACATATTGAAACACATTGAAGGCCCTATATATATATTTATATATACGTCTATTTACACCGTTACGCTCTAATAAAGGGGTGTCCGCACTTTTTTGGCTTTTTTTTTTTTTAGGAGCTACTTTTTAAATGAATGGGAAATTTTTGTTTTTACTTTCCAAATTCATCAAGTGGCCCGAATTGAACCTCCTAGTGGTCCGATATTGGCCTGCCCTGTGTACTGTATATGTACCTCCCTTCATTGGTCAAAGTTCCATCTCGTTGCCCGTGCATTGTTCCAGATTGATGTGTTTAAGTCTGGCCTGTTGTGACTAAACTCTCTGCTGCTGAAGTCTGTCTCCTTGGTGCTGCATTTGGGTCCTGCCCTGGTTCCTGGTTTTGCTGAACGTAACACTACTGGTAGATTGCGATCTACTTAGTAATACCTAGTTGATACACATGGGAGTTTAAAGTACCGTCGCAGTGAAGTAACGTGTCCTAGAATTTATCCCAAATATCAAGCCAAAAAAGTTTGAAATCTGGTGAAGATCAAAACTTAGGAAAACGGAAATATTCAGATATTTGTACCTTAATAAATGTAGATTTTGTTGTTGTTAGTACCAGTATGTTCCTGTGGGAGGGGTGCTTCTTACCTGTGTGGACTCGGCTCCTTGGCTCCAGGTCCTTCACCACGAGTTCTTTTGGAGAAGGAAATTCACTGAGTTTGACCTTGGACATGTTGTCGTTCTGACCCACTGTGCTGATCACTTCTGGATCTTTCTCCTGACTGTCTTCAGCCTGAACATGGATCCAAGGGATTTTCCTACACGTAGCAGGACAAACAAAAAAAACCTCTGTGTTGGCACCAGCGAAATCAATAATTTTTTTGGTTATCTTTTTTTTTTTTTTTTTAAAGTACAACCAGATTCCCTAGAATCCGGGTAAACAGACCTTTTAAACTTGTAGATGAAGAATGCAGCCACACCGATCAACACCACAGTCAGCAGCATCAGCATGGCCGACCCGCTGTGGATGGAGTTTGAATCCACAAGAGGCGCTGAGAAACAAACATGTCAAACTGCCGTCACATTTTATTCGAGACAAATCTCCTGAAATCCCTTTCCCCTTCAGCCATGTCTTATTTCAAGGATATTACTTTTATTACCACATGCCATGTCACACCTGCAGGCACAGTTTGAGGAGCTGCTCTCCGCATGTTATTCCCTCGGGGTGTGAAAAGGAACCTTTAGGAGGTCTGCTGTCTGTCCCTGGGGTCCATCATGCAGGTGTAGCTTATGCATAGTCATGCCTTTTTAAATGCTGAGAGGGAATATTTCCCCCTCCCTGCCCATCGCTCCCGCCTTCAAAGAGAAGCCCATAAAGTCTATGACCTTTCTGGATCATTTTAAAGGCAACCCAGACCTTTGTATGCAGACACAAATGAAGACAGATCTGGAGGTGGATGAAAAGGGTAAAGCCGCGCGGCTTGATCGACACGTTTTTACGATATGCTAATGACGCGGTGACCCTGCGGAACTCCTCGGTGCATACCAAGCGCTTTCTTTGTCAATCACGTCATTGATTGGCTGATTTCAGGGGTAAACTGCCATCTTACTGCCTCCGGGGCAAATGTGAAGAGCTGTCATTGAAATTCAAATCCTCTGATTTATAGTATAATATCAGACTCACTCTCAGGAAACTAACGTCTCTGCCGCCATTTCTTTCTTTTTCTTTCTTTTTTTTTCAGTGTTTGGGATAAAATCTAATGTCACATCATCCCAGGAAAGATATATGGCTAATGTTTTGCAGATCACCGAGCAGAACAAATGCACTGTGGGTGTGCAGACGTACTGTATTAAACTGGCATAAATTAAGCCCCAGGAATTTTTTTTGTCTGTCTTTTTATTTAACTGCTGCGAGGAGGAGTTTAAAATGTAAAAAAGTCCCCGATAAGATTGGGATCAAACTTACCCAGAGTTTGTTGTGTCATGTACACAACGATGCGAACGTCGGCTTTCAGCTCAAACTGGATCAGGCCTTGGTTCAGGGCAGTGACAAATATGTCTGAAATCTGGGTCGGGCGTAGAAAAACAGAACAAAAAGACATTATGAGATGAGCTCAGAGCTAATCAATTTGATTTGTTTGGCCCCAAATTTTATTTGCAAGCCTTCGGTGGACTTCTGTACACGGAGCGACGTCGACTCTGTCGTGAGCTCCTCTCGTTAGATGACCGAGAGCAGATGTGATTGGTCTGTGCACGACACATGACCCACAGATCGGATTAACAGAAAATGCACTGCCTTTAAGTACAACAGCAAATAAATAAAAATGTCCCTAAGATTAAACATCCCTTTACCAAAGGTCACAGCTGACAGGTCATTGGTCCAATGTCTCCTTTGTTACTGTAATGAAGTGAAACATCCTTCCATACCAGGGTTCCCCAACCCCTGGTCCGGGGACCGCTGCCGGTCTGTAGGTCATTTGAACCTCTGATTTGATTTCCCATCATTCCTTATGGAGTTTGCATGACTCCCTGTGCGCGCGTGGCTTTTTCTCGGCTCTCGTTTTTTCCTCCGACCTTTTCAAAAACCTCCACGATGAGTTTGATTTGTCACTTGCAATTTCCTTTGCGAGGGATCAAAGTGGTAGCAACACAACTGAATTATACAGTATTAACAGACAATTGGAATAAAAACTGCGATGTAAGGACAAGAAAATTGGTAGAAGACAAATGAGTGCATGTTTTGATGTATAGATGAATAGGGGAATGGTGGAAAATAATAATAATAATAAGAAGAAGAAACAGACAAAACAAGATAGTTTATTTGAGACAAAATGTTGTTATAAACTTAAGACTTAAGAAGAAACTTAAGAAAACCATAAGACTTTTGTGGCTGTGTCAGCTATTCGCTGCAGCAGCTTCACCTCTGCTTGTCCAGCTATAATTAACCTTTGACCTCGGGATGCACTTTATCTATGTATGTAAATAAATGTAATGTGAAAAGTTGGGACCAAGCTTGTTAAATTTGAACTTTAACAAGATTAGATTCATGTTTACCAGTGGTTCTCAATGTGTGGTATGTGGACCTGTGACACTCCAATTCCCTCCCATTGTAAACGAGGAATCTGATTCCCATGGAGGGACGGAGGGTAGTTAGAGTAAATAATCTTCTTTGTGGTTTGGTCTCTGCTGCTGTACTTAGTTAGTTATACTGGTGGTACTCCAAGACAAATGTTTGAAGGTGGTATGTGGTGAAACCTTTATTGCAACTGCCCTTTAGATACATTCGAAATTCATTACAGCACCCCCTACTGGGTAAAATTGGGAGGAAACTTACTCTTAACAATTGTTATCCCTAACCTAAAATTTCTTTGTAATCCACCTTTAAGGCAATACAGCAGTATTTTTTTGTAAGTTAAACATGATTAATTATCTAGCAGATCTTGTTTTCCTAAATGACATTGAAAAGTTAGGAAAGCAAACATCTCTTTCCACCAGTGAATTAATTCCGGCTGTCTCGTGGGACGGGCAGGTTTCTCGCAGCTACTCTAATGAGTAGGTGTTTCCTTTTGGAATCTATTTCCATTAAGTTTGTCAGAATTCTGGTTCAGCGAATGCTTTTTCCACGTGATTGATGAGTGCTCTCAACAGAACGTAATTAAAAACATAAATATATAATTAAACTGTTGTAGGCAGGTCGCACAGTGTGATAACTGTAGGCTGCAGCCTTAGAGCAAGAAGACGGTTTGTATCTCAGCTACCACAGATTTATTTATGTGGACATATTTATGGATACACACAGGTTTTTCTCCATTGCCCCAGAACAGGCTGCTTAGGCAGAGATTCATTTGATTCACTCAGAGGATCCTGTAGATCTGTGTAGATCTGTTGGCTGGGCATCAGGGTTGCCAGATCTCACCACAGAAACAAGCAACTACTTCTATACAGTACTACTACTACTACTACTACTACTACTACTGCTACTATGTACTTCTACAACAACAACTAATACTACTACTGCTGCTACTACTACTACTACTATCATGTACTTCTACAAGAACAACTAATACTACTATTGCAACTACTACTACTGCTACTACTGATGCTACCACTACTGCTACCATTGCTACTACTACTACTAGTATTACTACTACTGCTACTACTGCTACGTACTTCTACTACTGCTACCACTACTGCTACGTACTTCTACTATTACTACTACTACTATTACTACTACTGCTACTACTGCTACGTACTTCTACTCCTGCTACCACTACTGCTACCATTGCTACTACTCCTACTAGTATTACTACTATTGCTACTACTACTATTACTACCACTGCTACTACTACTGTTATGTACTACTGCTGCTGCTGCTATTCTTACCAGAAAGACCACTTTTTTAATTAGTGTTTGATTCGTGTTTTGATTGATAGTGATCTTGATGATAGCTAATGTAGTCTTATTTTCTTCTTACCATGTCCAGAGTCTCCTCCCGCCCTCTTTTGTGCTCAGTCGATAGATGCTCATCAGGCAGGATGAAGAGCTCTGCAGTCGTTGGAAGTCCTGGATACAGGGACACCAGCAGCTGCTTTTCAGTTACTCCAGACACCTGCAGAGGAATGACATTACAGTGGGGAGCTCTAACCATGCTGACACAGAGGTTTCTGCTTTAGCTCACACCAAGACAGCGGGAGAAGTGACTATCGCACCACCATTAGCTTCTATTCAAATTATCCTCAGACGACAATGTCTGGTCGAAGTCGTCATACCGCGGGCAAACTATAAACAGAACAAATTTCACCCATGTGCCATAAAACCTTATGACTGCAGTATCAATACTGCAAACAGGTATGAAATAATAACGACCTTGAGAGTCACCGGTGCCTGCTGCGAGCTCCAGGAAAGATCTCAGAGCAATCGCGACTTGATGTACCTGTGACAGAGCTGTTCGCACCACGCGGCCTATGTCTTCCCTCCACTCAGAGATGTCAGGATTGTGTTCGTCAAGTGCAGGCGAGAATGACAACAGCAGCGACCGAAAGGTCTCTGGAAAAAAAAAGCGATCAAACAATGAGCGCTCGCTCCGGTTTAGGGTTTCATTAATCTGATGTGCAGTTTTGTCTTTTCTCATTTGGCAACGTGCGCCTTGACGTTAATTGCACCTCAGGACCTCATGTTCGTTTATACCACAACATCTTATTCATTAGATAGGTCCAAGGGCTGACATCATGCATGCGAAACGGTCCAACAGGCATCATATTTTTCCCACTGAATATTCATGTAACTATATGGCACCACTTTAAGTGAATTGAAAGACTCAGTCTCAGTCACTCACCTTTGACTGTTATAACTTTTGAATCCTGCAATACGTTGCTCCCAGAAGCTACCTGGACCGTGACCTTGTTTTTCCCTTCCCTCTGAAATGTGTATGAGATGCTTCCCTCCAAGGTTATAATGGGCTGGATTTCAAAAGGAAAAACTGTGAATTACACAGGAAGCTCATTTTCTTCTCGGCTGAATATAGCATCTCGTGAACATACAGCCCCTGACGCACTGCATAATGAGAGGTTGCTGCAGCGAGCACAATCGACAGGATAAATAAATATGACCGGTCTGTACCGGGGAGATACGGGGCTGTCATGTGCAGAGAGATTTTATACCATCTGCGTTAGAGCCCTATAGATTTACGACGAAACAGAGACATTAAAAGAAGAGCTGGAGAATGGAAAGGACCGCAGGAAACTCGGAGGACCAGTGTGCGAGAGAGGAATGGTGGGTGGAGGTGCAGCTTCTTACCTCGGAGCTGTTGTCAAACCACCAGAAGAAGGTCAATGTTCTGCTGTGACTTGGCCAAACCACTGCAGTCAGATTAGCCTCTTTCCCCCTGATGGCTACAATAGGAATGGAGAGATATACACGCTCCACTGGACCTGGGGCAACAACATAACACATGCATCTGAATATTACAAATGAAATGCACACACACACACACACAGAACCATAGATTCAAATCAGTGTGGGTGAGATCACAGTGGATGTGTATGGAGTTTCAGGTACAAACTTTTGCATTTTTTTCTTTCAAAACTGAGATGTATAAAAACTACTGCAGCTGTGGCTGAAATACATTCAGCAGAGCAGGAGTGAATGACCATGAAAGAGATATTGTTCGTGCCACATGCGCCGCTGCAGGATTGACTTCCTATTCACATACTGGTGATATGGAGAAACATCGTGGTTCTGTCAGATCCCTGGCTGTTCTCAGCCGTGGCTGTCACTCTGTAAATCCCAGTGGTTCTGTAGATGTGCTTGATGCCGTCATCTGTCCTGCTCAGGTTAGAGTAGATGATCTTGATGCCATCCCCGAAGTCTAGATGAATGCTGGTTCCAGGCGAGTCTCCCTGCGAACAGACGGTAAGACATGGCATCTGTCAACACGACTTTGGACCGCAGCCTAGTGACGAAGACACAACTCCGCACTAAGTGCTCGGGCTGAGATGTTTCTCCAGATCGGTGTGTCACAAACACTTTGTGTTGTGGGCAGTTTTGAGGAGAAAGCAGAGAGACACAAATACAACTTTGTGAAAAGTTGAGGAGAGGTGGAGGAGGTCAGCAAAGTGTCTGGAAATAAGAGCTTTTTTGTATCTGACACCATCTTAATCATCATCTTAGGTTGACAAACAAATTGCCGTAATTAAATTAAATTATAAAGGATTCTTTTTCAACACACACAACAGTTAAAAATTATTTTCAAAATAAACTTTTTTCTAATTAATTTTGTTTTATATTCACGTCTCCAAATCTATATGATGTAATATTTGGATTCCTACTTCTCAGACGATGTACCTTTGAATTTAATAAGTAAAATAAATAAGTTGAACTCTTAAAATCTCTTTATGCAGTGGTTCTCCAACTTTTTATACTCTGTATCACCTGAGAAAACATTGAGCTCTCTGAGTACCACCAGATCAGATTTATTCAGTAGAAAATGTAAATGTGAAAATATGAATTTTTCCCCGCGTACCACTAGAGAGCGCTAGCGAACCACTGGTGGTACACATACCACAGTTTGAGAACCACTGTCTTAATGTAATAGTGAATTCTCTAGTACGTGGGATGTATTTTTAAAAAAAGTGTCATATTTGTTAATACTTTTGCATTTGAGTATTTACCAGGTACCTGCGATGCTGTTCTGGATGCCTGTAGTCGTAGTTACATTTTTGGCACAGCTATTTCTATGTTCCATCCATTAGGGTGAATCTGAGTGGATCCCATTAGAGTTGTTTTGTGAGTGTTAAAAGTGTGTTGTTCTCAGGATGCTCTGAAACAACTCCAAATTTTTCCCAGCAACACAAACAGGTTTCTAATCAAACACCTGCCAGAACAGCACCATCCTCCTCAGCCTTTTGGCCATCTCAATTCACAAACTGTATCACACTGCCAAGGTAGAGGCGTGCTCTGCCAATCACATAACACAGGTGTTATTGAAAACTAACAATGATGTTTGTGAGGGTGAGCCAGCGTTATGCCTGAAGCTGAAGAAAATGAAAGAAAACAGAACTTTTTTTTTTATATTCCCATGCAACAATTTAAGGTTATACAACTTACTTGGTCGAGGTACACCATGAAGGTAACATTGCTTCCAACAGGAGCACTGAGCTCTCCTTGACTGGTGGACAGACGAAGACCTTGCGGTGGTCTAGATTGACACGCCTGTCTTCTGGGTGAGAACACATTCTTCCCTGCCTCCTTACAGTTGTTGGACAAAACCTTCCGATACCTTCAACAGATCATATAATGATGTGATGGTTTTTTTTTGTCACTTCAGTGTGACTTGTTACACACTGACAGCATCAAGACATCAATTATAATACAGTCGGCAGGATTTATGTTAATGACCAATCATCCTGTTTTTTTTTTTTTTTGCACCATATCAGTCGAGCAATTAAAGAACATTTAACAGCTGATTTCCTGCAGAGCGCCCCAAAGACATTCATTAAAATCAGGCAGTGCCGCTACTGACTACTCTCCTAAATATAGTAAACTCATAACATTTTCCCAAATAAGTTAGCACACTAATATATTATATATATATAATAGTATAAACTAAAATTGTAATTAAAAATAAGTATCTCGAAATGACATGGACATAATTTTAACCAGACTTTTATTTTGAAGTGCGGGGTTTTATTTTGATAACTTTCTCAACACACCACGGAAGCAGGCGAAGCTGTCGGCATGGGTTGTATGGCCAAAACCTTACACTGTGTCTGACGGTCAAACTCGTGAGTGTATAATTTCAATGTTAAAGATATTAAGTTTATATTAAATCATTTATTTAATTGTTTTTGCGTTCTATTTGTCACAGTTTTCACTCCCTTCACGTGGGACGAAGCCAAGAGCCACAGTAACGTGAGAGAAACGGTTACTACGACTCTTACGCGGTAATTATTCTAACTTCAACTGTGTTCAGGAGGGTGCTTCACTCCTGGTGATGTAGCATTGTAGCTTTGAAGACACCTGCTGACACTCAGCAGTTTCTGCTCTTGGCCCTTTGTGCAAAAACATTTCTCTTGATATTTTTACAATATTACAATCCAGACGGTGATGAAAGTTCTAAATATGTTGCTTTATTTTATTATTTCTAAATTGCAGACAACAATAATACATCTAAAATTAACCTTTAATTTTAGTTTTACCTTTTCTTTTGTACTCGTCTGTTCTGACCAACAGAGCCTGTCGCAGTCATTAATTTCAACAAATTGAATTTAATTGGTCGCTAACAGCAGTTCTTGCCTTATAGCGATATATTCGGTTTAAATGGAATATATCACCAATTTGGTGAAAGGCAAATAAAACATACAATTCAAGGCATAACAACATTTCTGTTGTCATTGAATATATTTGACACCCAGAAGTTACTGTATTAATTCATATATTTATACAAAACTGTTTCTTGAATAAAATAAAACTAAAATGTGAAATTCAATTATTCCGTTCATGCTAACTTTCAACTTAAAATTCAACAATGTACCATGGAGTTTATTGAAATGTATTCTTTTGTTGTTTATTCATTGCAATTATTTTTAGAAAGCTAGTGTTTACCAACAGCAGATTTAGGCTAGTGTTGCTCTGTTTACTTCCTTTTCAATATTCCAAAAAAAGTTTGTAACTTTTCAAGTGTAAATGCATCGCACACTCAACACCTGCTCAGCATTATTCTGTATAATGGACCTGGGACACAGTGAGGGTTTCTGTTTTCCAGCTGTACTCTGAGTCTTTGTTATTGAACCATTGAAGACACAGACCTTTATTTTCTGTTTGTGCTGGAGACATTGTGACAAACAGGCTGGGGGGAAAAAAATGACGGGTTAAAGACTGAGGGCACTTACCCAGTGCTGTTAAGGAAGCTTTGGCTGCTGCTGCAGCTTTTAGTCGCGCCATTAGGATTAAACCAAAAAGCAGGGGAGCACTTCCCATCCGTTTGGCGCTCCCACCCGTAATCGCTGCCAAAAAACATGACACATCATGACATGATAAACACGACGACACGAATCATCTGTTTTCCATTTTAAAGGTTCTGGTTGGTGGGCTGCTATACAATTTAAGATTAATGGCACAGTTTAAGAGCACAACTGTAAACAGGACTGTCAGAAAACACAATTTAGCAGGTTTGAAGAGAACCCATGAGACTTTAAATTATTTTTTCTATTGATTATTATCTGAGTTCCAGCAAGTCACTTAATAATATTCGGCCCAATAAGAAGTTGCGGCTACAACTTCCTGACCGTAATTAGAGTACGTGAAAGCGGTCATATTTGTTATCCAGCAAATACAGTATGCGGTGCTAAGTTAATTAAGGCAAATGAAGTCCAGCGAACGACCGCTTGTGTTTCCAGATTACAAATGTCTACAAGGCGCTCTTAATTAGAAACAATTCAATTAAACATTCAGAGGAAATGCTGTTTTGTAAACCTGCAGTGAAAGAATTGAGGAAGCGCCGAGGACAGACGAGTGTATTACAGTTAAGTCCCACCTGAGGAGAAGTCATTACCATTCAAAATCAAAGGCTGTGCAGAGGCAGGGCTCCGAGGAATAGATTCTAGAATAGTCTTGGGCCAGCATACAACGGTTGCCTGGCATGCGCTTCATAAAGGTCTGCTTTTCCCCCATCACACACAGCTCTCCCTATCAAACAAGGACACACAATGCTTTATTAGAAATAGGCGTATGTTTGCAGTGGATGATAATCTTTGCACTGACACTGGAGAGAAATCAATAATGTTTATTATTGCTGTCACCTTGTTGTGCAGATGCCACGTCTGATAATCTCCGTCCATGCACCTCCTGCTAAAGAGACCCATGTAGTCGATCTTAATCAGCTGCCATTCTGACCTGTGACCAAAGTGGCCAAAGAACCTGAAGAGGAAATCACCGAAATGCAAATGTGACGGGAGAACACGCAGAGATAAACTTCCACAGGTAGGTGTGAATCGAGTCCTGTCTTTCATGTTGACGAATAAGAAAATGTTACATTTAAAAGAGCTGTGATGTCTCCACTTACGTCAGAATATGATTGTCCGCTTCCGGCTCCATTAGAACTCCGTCCACGTACAGCGGTGATAAAGAGAAACTGTGACGGTCCCACTTTTTCCCTTCATCAAGGCTGACCCTGCGTTAAAAATAGGTTCATTTGTACAACATTAAACAGCCAGAGCACAGACGTGAAATTGGTCACTGGATAGAGTTCCGTGTCTTTTCAGATTTGGGTCATTCCTGCGTTATTGAGAACAAGAACATAAAACACGTTTTATGCACACAAAAAAGCCCTTTCAACAGCAGACCTAACGACAGCAACAAATACGCTTGACCTTCTGCGTTTTACAGTAATGTAACAACAAAAGGAAGACAAGTTAAAGATCGTAACGACACGTACGGAGTTGTGGGCTTTTGAATCAATGCTTTTTCAGAGTTAAATCAGTGTTCGCGGGGCTGTGTCGCGCGGGGACATCAAAGTAGGCAGTGTTACAAAGCTGCCACTGTATAAGGAAGTTATAAGGGCGTCCTCAGGCTCGTATTTCCACCGTCTCATTTACATAAAAGCACTCAAACCATCATATCTCACAAAGAGAACAAAGCCCTAACAGGCTCTCTCCTGTTGGAAATGATTCTGCCTCTGTTTGCACGCTGCAGAGGCGCTACAGTAATCATGCAAACACGGCCCATCAGCATTAAGTGTAATCATACACTGCATCACCCTGCCGTGACCCCCCCAAACCCCTTCCTTTAAAAAAAAAAACTCAATTCACATCCAAGTTGTAACAGCCTGCTATGACTGCAGCGTCCACGGACTCCACTCACAGTAATTACAATGTCAGCCGGCGCTGAAGTGTGTTGCTGCACCTACCACAGGTGACGAATCGGCGACGGCGCGTGTAAGACGGCCAGCAAAGCCCCGCCGTTGTCAAGGAACCAAATGTTGTGCTCTTCATCAAAGATCTGCACAGGTGTGAAGTTTAGAAGCATATGTTTGGTAAATATATATCGTATCATTATTTAAGTGAGGACGTGCTGTCTGTGGTCACCCACGGCTGTTACCTGTCTCCAGCTGTTTCCTGCGTCAGATGTTATAAACATGCCGAGGTTGGTGGAGGACAGTTCTGTTCCAATATTCCCTGAGCACAAAAGCATTGATATTATCAGCAAACTTTACATTACACCTACACAAACTGAGTTTTATTTCACCTTCAGTTTCCTGCGTGTTAAAATCTTAGTGTTAAAATCTCCATAAAAAAAACACATTTAAATGTGTTTGTGCGGTTGGACGCTCATGATTTATTCAGCTATGCAGCCCAGTAGGGGGCGACATCAGTTATTGATGTTCAATACAGACAATATATCAGCTAGCCGATATTATCGGCCGATATTAGCTTAATTATGTAATATCTGTAAGAATCGTTATCGTTTATCCCCGATAATAAAAACCCGATCTCGACAAATGAAGTGTGACTTAAACATTGTTTTGAAGTGACAGTGAAAGTGAAACTATTATTTGTCATTGTGACACAGCACACCACTGTACATGGTTAAATGTGTACTCTCCCTTTAACCCAAACGGCTGCATATATCAGTATAGGTTGAAATCGGATTAGGAAATTAAGTGTTTGGACAATATCGGCAGATCGGATATCGGCAAAAAGTTATCGGACAAAACTATATATTTCTTTTAAATCCCCGGACAATATCGGCAGATCGGATATCGGCATTTCTTTTAAATCCCCCAGGGCAAAATTAAATCTTTACTGACATCTACTTGCGGGCAAGATTAGAAAAGTGGCCGATGGGCCTAAAGTTTGAGGACCCTGCTTTATGTGCACCAACCTGTGGCCACGATGATTCCCGGCACAGACTTTTTGCTGGTGATGGGTCCAGATGTGTAAGGGTTCTCCGACATCTCCAGATGAAGATGCAGCGAACAGAATGGCTGTCAACAGAACAGCACAGGCTGAAACCGTACAGATCCAACAAATTATTTTTTCACAGAAACAATTAGAATCAGCTCTGACTTCTAACAATTCTTTCAAGTAAGTGAAAAGAGCAAATATTTTCAGATCACTAATAAAACAAAGGCGCTCCGTTTCTCATTTTCTCCGGCAGAAACAAAGACACGAAAAGAAAGAGAAAAGCTTGGAGGACGCAGAGGGCATTTGAATTGTTTCTTTCCAAAGCAAACAAGGCATGTAATTAAAAATTCCCCAAGATGCACTGATAAAACTGACAAAATTGATTCAAATCATTTCTCTCATCTCTCAGACTGAAGCCGGCGAGAAACATCAATAAGGCTTTTCAAACAGGCGAGCGTTGGGGGAGGAGGTAGAGAGGGGGGGTCTCATGTGTGAAACTGCAGGGGAAGTCAGTAACCTGCTGTTAACTCAACAATATAGACTGAATCCAACAGTCTCTAAAGGACACGGCGACTGGATTAGGGGACAATCACGGCTACCTAATAACATGTCATATAACTCAGTGTATGCTCACATTCATTAGTCCAGTGGGACTACGGGTAGTAAATTAAATCACAAAGGTTAATGGAAAGTCTGGACCCCTGAAACTAAACATGATGACACCCTGCCTTATAATGATAATCACGATATTCCAGTCAAGCATCTCCTCTGCCATTTAGGGAGGCTATAAAGCCAATCTGATGCTGGAGCTAGGACCTGGCCTTGTGCAAATGCGGTCTTGAATCACAAACAGCATCCAGGGCACGAATGACGGTCCACGAACCCCTGATGAATGTCATAAACTTCATTTTGCTGGAACCAGGGTCTTGTTCGAAGCATGGCACTCACCAGAATGCAGTGAAGGTTATTTCCAGCCACGTCGCTGGTGGGCGCTGGTAACAGGGCCCAGGTTTGTCCCTTGTCGTAGGTGATAAAGGTCTTGATGTGATTATCCAGCAGTTTGTTGGCAAGGTACATGCCATTTATCCCTTCAACCTGTGATGGAGAAGTGGAATTACAGTTTGTGAAATATTTTGTCCTCATTTTATTTTTTTGATCAGAAAGACATTTTAGCAGTGCTGCGAAGGGGTTGTGTCTCGACTCGTTCTGTGTTTGTTAATGTGTTTCTGTCAGTCAGTTGGATTTAGTGGTAAGAAAGTACAGAATTAATTGGAGTCACACTTAGTGGGAGGCTGCAGCGTGGACCAGAGAAACATCCATTACATGTCCTCGTAGATTCAATAAAGGAGCACAAACCGCACTTTTAAAAATCACTTTTTTAATGTAAGCTGTCAGCTTTTCAGCTCTTTCAACCATTTTCCCATATACGTGTCACTGTCAAAAGAGCCTTAATGAGATATGGGGTTTATGTTGCTAACAGCTACAATGTAGTTTTTCCTATTGCAAGTTACCAGAAAATAACCTTTTTCCAATTATTTCCCTGGTAGAAGAGCTTGTCAGACACGTGGGATTGTTTGGCCTTGGTAAAAGAATGTAGTCTACTCTATTTGGCAGCTATATTTTTGTTGGCCCATACAACATCATTAAATCACAGATAGAAACAAAACTTGGAATTTTAGAGCATCGGAAGCTTTACTTGCAACTGTCCTGGTGTGATGGCTTGAGTTGTTGTGGGAAAAGTTTGTTTTTTTCTGTTACAATGTTACATTTTGAAATTGAAGTGAATTGAGTCAGGTGTAGGTCTGCAGCGGCTATAGTGCTGTAGGTGGAAAAAAAACGGAAAAGGTGGAAAAAAAGGTGGAGATGCGAGGAACATAGGAAAGGAAAGATAGGCAGGTTTGAACGCCTCAGCTCTGTTTAATGACATGAAATGGAGTAAAGAGGCGAGGCCGAGGGTGGAGACGGTGGAGTGGGTGGAGACGGGTGTTGGCGAATTTGTTTGACAGAAGGACAGCAGCAAGAATCAAAGGTTTTTTAGGGCAGCAGGAGACCTGGTGATGTATGATATGTGTTTAACACACAGTGGCACTGTGTACAAAATATGTAAAGACACTTAGACAAATATTTTAAGTGATGATGGACAGCTTTAGAACAAAGTGATGAATTAAGGTAGTGATTCCCAAACACTGTGCCGGGGTACACTAGTGTGCCGCGAGAGATCATTAGGTGTGCCGTGGAAAATGACCAAAATTCACTTAATTGGACTGAAAACTATTATTTATTTATTGCATATAATATTCTCTTTGCTCGTCAAAGCATGAAAGGACAATTAAATACTCTTCTGCTAGGTGGCAGCAGATGGCTGAGTGGCTGAGTGAGTGATGGCTGAGTGTCTTTCTTTCTTTCGTCCTGCCAGTGTATCAGCATTTTTTTCAACTAAACAGGCCGAAATTTTAGTCAAATATGAGGTCATTTAAACTGGAAGATTTTTATATTTCGTTACATATACTTTTTGTGAGATTTTTGTTTGGTGGTGTGCCGTAGGGTTTTTCCTGATGATATATATGTGCCGTGACTCGAAAAATTGTAGCCGGGTTTCACTGGCTTTTGAGAAATGCACAGGAGCTTTTCTGTGTGGTGTGTTCAATGACAAATGATGGAAAACTGCAGTCTGTTGAGGTGTTGAGCTGCTGATAAATCACTTATTTACATGTATATGTATACTGTTGATAGAAATACTAGGGGGTTCTAGTATTTCATTGTTCACTTTTAATTACTAGTAATCACTGGGCAATATATTAGTTCCCACTGTTTTATAGACCAGCTTGTGCCAGGGATGTCAAATGTGCTGCCGGTAATGGATTTGAACCAGAAACCTACTGCATGGGTCTCTGTAGAATGGAGACTTTGACTCCAGGTAAAAAATGTTACAACAACAAAAATATATATATATATATATGATATTTTTATATAATTTTTGATAATTCTAATCTGATAATTGGATTGCAGAGTGAAGTTAGTTGGATTTTAAGAAAATATGTTTTTCATGATAAGGTAAAAATGATGATGTTTCGGGCCAAGGTTAGACGGTGTTGAATGTTTTGTACTATTTTCTTCACATCACTGTAGCCAGAGAGAAATGCTGTGCTTTCAAAGAATGCATTTTTAATTCAAATCAAGTCTCATTTTAAAAAAAAGCTGTAATGTTTTGCTTATGCTGCTCGTTGGGTCTTCTATTTTATTTTAAAATCACCTATCGGTTTGAGCACAGTGAACACAACAGTAATTAACAGACTAAGATAAATGTAACTTTAATTACATTCACAGCTTTTGTGATGAAAAGATATTTTCTGCCTCAGTTGCAGGCAGATTGTTGGCGCTGTCACAGCAGCGGTGGATGAGTAAGACTAACAACTCACCTTGTAGAAGTCGACCAGCAGGTTACCTGCGGCTCCTCTGCTGGTTCTGAGATTCTCTAATGAAAGGGTGAAGTAGACCCCCGGGGAGTCTGAGATGTACAGGCTGTAAGTGTTGTTCTGATTCCATTCCTGGACTGCAGCAAAAACCTGCTTCTCATCTGTGCTGATGATATGCATGTCCTGGAGGGTGTTGGTGAGGGAGGGAGAGAGAGAGAGATGGATAGAGAATGAAAATGACAGGTGAACGCCAGAAAATAGAGAGAACATATTTATGAGAAGCTCAACAGAAGCACTTTTATGTGAGTGCATCTTTGGAAAAAAAACAAAAAAACAAAAAAAACAGAAACATGAACAACATTATCTTTCTTTTAGTTCATATCTTACCTTAGGTAGACAATATTTAGGCAACTGCATCTGCCTGAAGGACTCTCTCATGTAGGAGACGAAGTAACTGGGTCGTCCGACCTTGGTCACCTTTGGGTTGAAGACAGAGAACATGTGTCAAACGTCACCTTGGAATTTTGCTGACAATACTATGCTAAAAACACACAGAGTATATAGAACATACATCGTTTTAATTTGTTTGTGTTCAGCTCTGCAGTTCAGTTACAGGAGGTCCTCGGTTTACGACTTCCTCGACTCAAGGCATTTCATGTTTACATCACCGTCTCCCATACATTTATCATTCCGACGTTGTTTGTTCCAATGGTTTTATGTCCTAGGTGATGTTACCACTGTGTTAGCACAGGGCTGTGACATAGGTACTCATGTACAGTATGTGAGTTCTGACTGAAGTTACGTAGTGCCATAAGAATGGAATTCTGATGTAAGTTGAGGACCCACTGAATTTTTTTTATTTTTTTTAAAAAAAATCCATAGGTAAGTTGAGGACCCACTGAATTTTTTTAATTTTTTTTATTACTGATTTTGGTAATAAGTGTACAAATGACTATTCTAGGGCCCGCACTATAGGAGTCCATACAGTGCTTATAGTGGTTTCTGTTATTTTTGTTTTTTCCGCTGGACTATAGCTTTTCTTCAGGTAGTAAACATTCCTCCCACAGACAAAAACAGACAAATTGTTCAGTGTTCATTGACCATTGGTAGATTTGATTGTTTTTTTTGTTCCTTTAAGTGGTCCTGTGAAATACTGTTAAGGATCTTTGGATCTGTGACCGTTAACCTCCTTCCTATTTAGACCAAAAAATATCAAATTAATTCAGCGTTTATAGTAGCTGTTATTACTTGTTTTTAAAGGTTTCCATCGTGAGTAACTGTGACACTGCTGTTCCGGCTTCATTATTATGAACATGTTCAGGACGTCTGTGTTCACACCTCACAAATCCAATTAAATAAACTCGCCCGAGTGGGCACATTTACTTGAACAAGTGGGAACGCAGCGTTCCAAGCCTTGATGGGCAAGTGCACTGGATAATGTTGTCAGTGTTCCACATGAAAATTGACTTTTGTTAAATGTGTGACTATAAATCAAATTGTAAAACACCACAGGTTAAACAAATATTTGGTTCTAACAGTGCAACGCAACTCCTTTTTCACCGCACGTTGGACTGTAAGTGGGACATAAAGGTCCCACAAAACAACACCAACGAAAGAATGTGAACAAACCCGTTGACATATTTGTTTGCAAGATGTTTGTCATAAATTTATGGGTGATTAGGACGTAACCGTAAAACGCTGTAACTCGAGGACGTCATAAACCGAGGACCTCTTGTAGTGTCTACTTCTGTTGAACCTAAAAGTACGCCATTCAACACTGATAGGATAAAAAAAACAAACGTCAACATCAAGACTTTTCAAACTGTTTTCAGATTATTAAAGAACATTAAAATTTGTTATACCGTAGTTCGTTTAAGTAACTTTAATTTAACGCTTAACCTTAAGCTCTAGCTTTTTCTGAGATGAGAAATCTTGCAGCCGAATCAAGCTACACGTGACTGCGCTGGACACAGAAATACACGCACGTTTCCAATACCCTGCTCTGAGTATCGCAGAAGCTGGACATAAAAATAATTGCGATATTATGATTAGAAATCGTCGAAAAATTATTATTTTTCAAAAGCTTGGAGAACTGAAGTGTTTTCACCATTTCTTTTACATTTGTTAATAACCCGACACACTTGGCTGAAAAATTCCCGAGGTGCATTCATTCACAATGCATGACTGACTTGATAAAACGCTGGCAATTTCACCGTGTTTCCCACTGCACCGATAGCAGAGCACAATGACGAGCAGAGTAAAAGCAAGTAAACACGCTAGAAATAATTATAATTATCTCAATTAGTCTAAAGCTTCGAGGTGCCGAGGATTGTGTTGCCTTTATCTACAGAGCAGCTTGAAGATCTTAATGCACTACCACTTTTCCATCAACTTACAGGCGGGGCAACACTACTTGATTGCTTATTTTCTAATCAAGTAGAGGGATGGTGTTTGTCCCCCAACACACTACATTAGAGCTCTAATGGAATAATCTATCGAAAATCAATGAGCTGCATTTTCCCAGGCCACATTTTTGAGGATGTTGCACTTGGCTGTTCCCTCTCTCCCAAGAGACTTTGGAGGTGTTGAAGACTGCTTATTTCGTTGTAGCCAGATCGATAACCTCATTACTCTTTGTCAAGTTAAATCCAACTGCCCCGAGCAATGAAAGTCACAAGAAAGTCATCTGTGGCACCGCGAGCTCGCGCAGATACTCTGCCTGCGTGTGCTGTCCGTTTTCACTAACGTCCTCCTCATGTCCGTCCCGACGGTCGCTCTCATCTCGGCTGAATCCGATTCTGCCGTTTCATTAAATCACCATTTTTGTGCGATTTAAAAAATTATTTAGGACATTTTCCTTCTCACATTCCAGCTCTGCAATCATGTCTGAGGATTACCTGGGCCTAAATTGAAACTGGGTCACGGCTGAAGCATTGCCGCTGCGAAAATCACATCATGAGGAAGATTAAATTGTAGATAAATGAAGAAGGAATATTTAGGATGGGGTTTATTCATCTACCAGACAGAAAGACAGACTGCTGCAGCTTCTACTATGTTTATTTACTTATTTTATATATTTTATATTTTTGCATAAATTGTTTCTTTAACCATCTCCACCAGGGCAGACAAAGAAAGAGACAATGACTTTGCCGTGGATGGTAATCAATGACAATTGAGGACATTTGAAAATTGAATTCCTGATAATGACCCTGACGGCTGCTGTCTAATTGGACTCAAAGTCACACTGAGCAAAAATGGGATAGAAACCAGTGTGTTTACAACTGCTCGGCTTTGTCCGCCCTGTAAGCAAACACATTTTCAGATATGGCTTCAGTAATAGGATAAGGACACACACACACACACACACACACACCAGGCATGAGAAAAAATATAATCAAAACGCACATTGAACCAGAGGGCACCAGGTGTGTTTGAAAGACTCAATATAAGGGGTTTTGATGGAAAATCGTGTATAAGATGTGTAAAAGACCAACATAGGAATAAATCGAACTCCCAAACCAAACCCAGAGGAAAATAATTGCCTCCAGAGTCAGGAATGGAAAACAGAACTGGTTTCCTTTAATTTGGAGACATAATCTTTAATCATTACACCAACCTGTGTGAAGACGTATTCATCCTGCACGACCAGTGAGTTGGTGTCTACGTCTCCAGGGAAAAGATACTGTCTGTTTCCCTCTGTGCATCTCTGAGCTCTGCACTTCACATACCAGGCACCTGAAAAGAAGGGAAAAAAAGACCAAAGAAAATCAATCAGAAAGTAAATTAGAACCATTTACTTCCAGGCAGTGTTTTTATGCACCGGAGCTGCTCTACAAAATAGATATGATAAATACACTGCTTTAGTTTTACTGTTCAAAAGCAGCTCTCAGCTCGAAATTATGGGCTCACGACTAGAACTGTGAATACGCGGCGGCGGAGTACTGCAGTACACCAAAGCCAGGACTCACGTCTCCCGCAGACAAAGTGTTGGCAGTGTTTAACAGCGCTGAAAAGGTTGAGAATGTTAGCGTGAGAGAGCGATGAGAGTTTAAATGCCAATTTAAATACATACTTTCACAGCACGGAGATAGATATGCTCTACAGTATGCGTCTCTTTTTTTTTTTTTTCTTTTGCAGGAAATTGGTGTGACGAAATACCCCCGATGTTTAAAAGAGGAAAGCTGAGGGTTCAGTACGAGACACAGGGGAGAGATTACGGAGAAGAAACATCAATCAGCCCGCTAAAACTCTTGGTTTTCGTCAGGAAACACCTATTCTGGTTTACTGGACTGCAGGGACCAATCTGAGCAACAGAACGAGTCTCATCTTCCCCGTGACCTCGCTGTAAATGAGAGGCAAGGGGTCCTGAGGGTCCTGCTACTGTTGCAGACCGCAGCGGTGCACTCACGGCCTTTCGCGATGCGAGTCTCGATGTGGACCACATCTGATTCTTTGTCCAGCCCCATTACAGCCCTGGAAAGATCAGAAGGAGAAGGGGATATAGAGGAGCCGGGAGAGTTGATGAGGTAGAGAATGAGAAAAGTGGAGAATAAGACGAAGAGTGAGGAAGGCTCGGCTCGATATGTCTGCAGGTAACAGTGCAGTCATAGAAAAGATATTTCACCCTAATGTCAACTGTCACACGTGAACTGGAATGTGACATAAAGATGTTTGATGAAACACAGAGTCAGAAAGGATGGACAAATGCATTGCTTATAAACCATAATTTGAGTGTTGATTTTTATCCAAACATTAGTTCTACATTATACTACATAGAAGTACAGTAGACCCTCGAGATACAAATTTTTTATACTACATAGAAGTACAGTAGACCCCCGAGATACAAATTTTATCCATTCCACAACAGCACTCGTGTCTCAATCCACTCCTATTTAGATGAAATTTTCCCCATTAAAAATAACTGAAAAACAATTAATTAGTTCCAGCCTCCAAAAAAATATACTATTAATTCCCCCATCTAACCATCAGAAACATAGATATAAACAAAGGAATTGATAACACAAAATAATAATAATTAAAAATACATTTTATATTATTGTTATAAAAATGGGTTAAGTAACCCAGCGAGGGACAGTGAGCTAGACACTTAATAGCTATACAGGAAATTTAAATGGTCATACCAGTAGAATCGTCCTGGCATCACATTGTCGTGAACCAGCATCCACTTCCTGCCAAAGTCCATAGAACTGTAGAGCTACAGGATAAAAATAAGAATGATTTTACCCACAGAGAAAGAGTGAAGTTCTGAAGGAAACTCTTGTCAGTACTGTTAGTGGGAAAATCCACATCTATTTGGTCTATTATTGACAGTGTCATCATACCATATGTCACTGCAACCCAGCTGTTCAAAAACTACAGTAATTTATGGAGGGGAATTTCACAGCTTTTATGCACCTAAAATGTTAAAGTAAACTTACCTAGATTAACCAGGATTTAATTCATTAAGTCATTTATCGTGAGTTAGTGTTATTAACAACAACAACAAAAACTTTACCTCTGTATATTTATGGGGGTAAAAAAAAAAAACAGAACACCAGAATGTACATATATGTGTTTCACATCTGTTTATATTCGTGACTAATCCAAATAATGGGATTTTTAATATTGAAAAAAAATCTCAATATTTAGTTCATATAGATACTGGTGGTCCCTCAGCTGTAATTACAACTGGTCTGAATTCACCTGACCAGAAGTTGAATCCTTCACAAATGCATGCTGGGAGTTGGGATGGTATTTTAAACTCCAGGTTCTTTGTCGCTGGGAGTTGGGATGGTATTTTAAACTTTACAAAAGGTTCTTTGTAAAACAACAAGTCTTCCCCACAGTGTGTGCAAATAACGTGTGACGACTGATAAGAGCAGCACTTGTTGATCAATGGTCGATTCTTGAATATATATATATTCAAGAATCGATATATATATATATAGATATATATATATTTATATATATATATATTTACTGAATATACAGTCGTATATCAACGTTTTTAGACTGATTCATCTTCACAAATGAATTGATTGAGGTTACCTTGTTGTCATGACTGTAGGCCAGTATCCAGTTCTCTTGCGTTGGGTGGAAGAGAAGGCTGAGGATGTTGAAGTTAACAGGATGCTTCTCAAAACTGGCTCCTTCATCTGAACTGATGAGAACTGCGCTTTCCACCTCCGGGTCGCTCAGCACCATGATCTGAGGTAAAATCAGCCACACACACACACAGACACACACACACACCACACAAAGAAAATACAAAAGCACGCAAAAAGACAGATAAGCAGAGGATCGTTTGAAAACAATATTTTCTCAAAATCCAGTTTGTTTTTTATTAAATCAGTCTGAATGAGTCCTCATGATAAATGCTGACCTTCTGTTTGTTGGTAGGGCAGACATACAGGAAACTCAAGACCGTCCTTGAACCCACTCTGTCGTTGAGTTTGTTGTAAGTGCTTCCATAATCAGTAGATCTGGATAAAAAATAACAACAACTCTCAAACACAGGTTTGGAACGTTTTAGACCATTAACTGCAAATCAATCACTCTTTTCTTGACTGCATCCCCAAAGAAAACCATATGTGCTTAGATTGATTTTTTTCTACCATTCAGGCAGCCTATTGGATTTAAAGAGGAATCAACTCAAAAAAGGTTCACACTGCTGGAATAAAATGTACTGAATGCCTCAGTAACAGTTACTGCTAAAACCTGATTTATGAGATATAGCTACATACGAGAGAAAGTCAAAGGATTCTTAGACTGACTGACCAATTTTATTTGAAGACAACAGAAATATTGCTCGTAAATATGCACCAAAATTCTAAACTCTAACCAGTTGCAATTAGGGATTTCATCATCAGCTATGATGTCAGCCAAAAACAAAAAACTATGAAATTAGCTAAAAAAAACAAAACAAACAAATAATAAGTAATAATAAGTTAGGGACAAAAAACAAAACAACTATGAAGTTAGCCACAAAAAGATAAAAGATGAAGTTAGCAAAAAAACAAAACAAATATGAAGTTAGCCAAAAGTATAAGGTTAGCATAAGGCAGCACCTACAACGTTAACCAAAAATAAAATAAATATGAAAAAGCAAAGAAAAAAAACATCTAGAAACTTAGCAAAAAAACCAACATATATGAAGTTAGTCAAAAACAGAAGCCAGAAGTAAATTATCTTTTGCAAAACTAAAAATTTTGCTCTAATTTTCAAATGTCTTTATTGGAAGTTGAAAAACCTGATCAAATAAAATGTTGAACAGCACAACAATTGACAAAGATTTAATGACAAAGCTCAGATTGTTGAAGTGTCAAATATTAGATGTTAATGTGGACATTTTTGTGATCGCGACCTGATGTCGACAGGACAACGTTTCCGAAGCTAATTGTTCATTCCAAACATTTACCCATTTTATGTGGAGTATTTTTTTTAATTAACGAAATGCCACCAACAAATTCAAACACATGTTGGGTAGCAGAGTCGCTACCCAGACTGGTGGCAGACTTGTCTTAATCTCATAAAACATTAAGGTGAAAAGTTGGGACAGATGGCGTCTCGTAAAAGCAGTGCAATTCCAGAAGATTAAATCCATTTTTCCATGAAATCTGCACCGTCTATCTTGTAAAGGTTGCACGGGGAGGTGGTATTTGATGAAGGGCAGGTGACACCGTGAACAAGTCAGCAGCCTGTCACGGCGCAACATACATACAGAGACAAACAACTGTACACACTCACATTCTCACATAGAGAATATTTACAGTCTCCCATTACCCCCATAACCTCAATCTGCAAAGCCATCAAAGGAGAATGCCCAGAGAAAAGACACACACACACACACACACACGCAGAACATGCAAATGCTGAAATGCTCTGCAACCCACTTTAAAAGTTAAAAACGTACCACAGACATGTTAATATAAACCTGCAGGGTAACGAAGCAGCTGGTTCATCTGCTTTTGTCCCTAACACTCTGCAAAATACAGATAAGCATTACAATTATAATTAAAATGTCAATTAAAAAGAAAATTAAATACAATTAGAGGCATAAAAATAGGTTCATTTGCACTGTTTTTATTTTAGTTCTGTTTTGTGATTTTGTTTTTCATGGCAGTACAGCTGCAGGCAGGATACAGGTTTGTCAGACATTTTGAGTTTCGGGAAACCGAATGTGTCTCCGCACTAAGATGTACCCGCTGTCATTGTTTGGAGAGAAGAAGTCGTCACCTCTGCTAAACCAAGACTGGTTTAGCAGAGAAAATGGATTGCCTTGAGAGTCATCTGGGCGAGTGTGCAGCAGCTTTACTGTGAGTGAGAATGAGTCTCGCGAAAGACTTTGAGATGATGGGGGTTAGACCAACTGGGCCGACATCGTTCAGGCAGCTCACCGGGTCGTTTTTCGGGCCACTGGAACAACGGCGGCTGACTTGAGGCAGGTCAGGGCCGATGCTAACTGGTCTTCGCATGCTTTCAGTACCCTTCCAACTGGTCCTGTCTGGACCAGTTGCTTTCCTCGCATTGACTTTGGATGCTGCTGCAGTTGGATGGGGGCGTCGTTCTTTCAGACAGAGCAGAGTCGTTTTGGCTTTGTGTTACAGTGGTGTCAGGTGTTGGTGGAGGCGTCTCTCACAGTGCAGGTGTCTTTGTAGCCAGCGTTGACTTTGATCCCCTGCCTGGAGTTGCTATTGAAGTGCTACGCATTGCCCTGTTGGTTTTTGCGCCTTGCCTCTCTGATGCCTCTCTACGTGGACCAGCGTGCCTCTCTTTAAGCCCGCTGGTCATCTGACTTGAAGGCCTCATCACGTGCTCTAAGTAAGCTCTGCAACTTGCTGTTGAGCCAGGGCTTCTGGTTCGGGAACACTTTAATAGACTGTGTAGTGCTTATAGAGTCAGTACAGAAGCTGATGTCACAGAGTACAGCAGATGTCTGACTTCCCAGCAAAAATCTCTAGGGCTGCGGTGGCTTCCTCAGTCCATACCTTGACTGTTTTGACTGTTGGCCTCTTTCTGCATATCGTCGTAGTAATAATACCCCAAGAGTAGTGCACTGGTGGCGCTTTGGCCCATAGGCGGTCGTGGAGACTGCTGCCCCCGCGACTCGTTAACGGATAAGCGGATGAAAATGGATGGATGGATGGAGTAGTGGTAGAACTGGCTGCTAATACAGTTCAGTACCAGCAGGACTGGACTAGCAGTCCCGTTGATAGTTTCCTGACTGACCCAGATATATATATATATATATATAATAAAGTAATCAACAACCAGGTATAACTCCTCAATAAAAAACAATATTTTAATATGTCAGTATACGTTTGTATAAGCACATATACACGTATAATGACATATTAAAATATTGTTCTTTAACCTGGTTTGAATTAAATTATCAAGAGACAAAATGTTGTGTATTTTATTGAGGAGTTGTACTCGGTTGTTCATGTTAAAATCTGGAATTAAAGCAAATAGATGCTGGAGTGCATGAAAACAGTGTAAATTCACAGCACTCTGTCAGGTGGGTAGATGCAAACGAGTATGGTACGCAGGTGACAAGGCACATAAAGATGCTGAGTACACAAGATGTAAATCTATAATGCATGCATGTAAAATACAGAGACGAGCTGGCTGCTGGGAGACACATGTCAGCCGGTGAAGGTGAAGCTACACTTTAAGCAAATGAACGGGGACGTGTGACATCCACCTGTTTATACAGTGGTGAGCATTAGATGAATAGGTAATTTATTTATGCCAAATGAAGGAGGCCGAGGGACGCTGATGATGTCATAGTAGGTGTTTAAACAACGGCACTGAAGGTATTCTGCGAAACAGGAAATGCATTCGAGAGCTTAGTCGGGATACAACAATCCTTGCGAAGGAGTTCAATTACAAATGTGAAATGTTAGCCAAGCTATCTATTCCTAATCCTCAGTCGATGTGAGCATCAGGAGGCACAAAGCCAAGTGACATTCTGCATTAAAACGCCTGACACCTTCATTAGGCAATTTCATCTTGACAACGCAGCACTATTTAGCGAAATGCATCTTTGACAAACCAAACATCCACATTACAAATGTCAGGACGGCCTTCAATATATGCCATCTGATTATTCATGTTACACTGATGAGTAATTAAGGCACGGATCACTGATTAAATGATTACTTTTGGGAATGTTATTTAGTAAAAGCAATAACATTACATTACAAGAAATG